CCTCACTCGGTAGCATTGCCATCAGTACCACTCAGCAATCACTCAAATAGCCATAGTTACTTGAGAGCTTTCGCTACTTCAAATAATAGACATGAATAGCTTGGATTCCCAGCCTTTGTTTGGAGTGTTGGGAAAGCCAGTCTCACAGGCACAGTCTTTAGACTCCCGCACAGCCCCCTAAGAGTGGTCTCAAGCCTGGAACAGTTCCTTACACTGAAATCAAGAGCCCTCAGGCCTGTGCGGGGCATAGCTCTTTATCCGGGAATATCTTACCCTGTTCCAGGCTTGATGGGTACTTCTTTGTTCTGCTTAAGTGTGTCTGCCATAGGGCACCTGGAAATCCTACTGCTCTATCCATTCCTGGAGGGGAGGGGTCCAGGTCCTTTGTCTGCCACATGAGAGGGGCACGTGCAAACCATCTCCCTACATTGGCTGGGGGACCAGACCTGCTGGCCATGGGGGACAGATGCTCATTATTGAAACTGATCTTGTTCTGTCTCTTCTCCATGTGAGTAAAGCGCTGTTCCATCCAGTGCCTGTGAGTCGTGTCTTTCTTGGTGACCCCGACACCTGCACACCCCACAGGGGGTCGACATCCTGGGGCTGCTGCTTCTGGTGGGAGGCAACTGGTGTCACTTGTTGACAACTAGACTGACCTTTTCTTCCACCATGACTTTACCTCTCCTCTCCAAATACTTCTCTAATTTTTACATTGTCAAGATTTGTAAAAATTACAAATTATTCTAAAATTATAGCTCTTCTGTGATATCTAAAGGTTGATACAAATAATTAAAAATCAAAACATCAACGTATCACATAAGAACCATGTATGTGTTTGAACCTATAAAGAATGAAATATACACTGAAAACAATTTGCCACTTGGACAATCTTCCAAGTATCAACATCCAATGGATAATTTTTCACTTTCTTTCAAATTCCCTTTACTTTTCCTGGCTCACAGAGGCCATTGTTTTGAGTATTCCATGTCATCTCCTTTCTTAGATTCCTTTTTCATTTTCCTGGCCCCTTCTTCAGATCAATTTAATCAGAATATATGGGAGGTGGACACTGGGTGTGATGGTTAATTTTAGGTGTTAACTGGATTAGGCCAAAGGATGCCCAGATACTTGGTGGGGGGCCCAGAACAAAAGAACACTCTACAACAGGTCTAGGCTGCCGTGCCAGCTGCTCTGCCACCTGGACCACAGGATCCAGCAGCTCCACTGGTGCTTGAAGCATCAACGGCAGAAAGGGATGCTGTGTGGAGCCTCTGGCAGGCCACTATAGGTGAATCACAGCACAGACCTTGAGGATTTTGGAGAAAAGCCCTGCCATCCTCTTCAGATAACTACTCTCTTTTTGAGAAACAGCTCGTGGCCTGCTATTCAGTAGAGACTGGGCAGTTAACCCTGGGCCACCAAGTTACCATGAGACCTGAGCTGCCCATCATGAACTGGGTGTTATCTGACCCATCAAGCCAGAAAGCTGGGCGCGCACAGCAGCACTCCATCATCAAATGGAAGTGGGAGATACCTCTGGCCCGAGCAGGCCTGAAGGCACAAGTCAGTCACATGAAGCAGCAGCCCAAATGCCCCTGGTCCTCCCCTCCTGCTCCACTATCTTCTCCTCCCAGCCTGTATCTGTGACCTCATGGGCCATAGATCATCCACGATCAGCTGACAGAGGAAGAGCTGACCACCCGAGAGTGGACAGCTGCAGCACCACAGCCCCTCCCTGGGACATCCCTGAAGGACATGGTGAAGAGAAACCCTCCCAGGGGGCAGAACTTCGAGCAGCGCACCTGGTTGTTCACTTTGCTTGGAAAGAGAAATGCCCTGACGTGTGATTATATACCAATTCTTAGGCTGTGGCCAACGGTTTGGCTGGATGGTCACTACTTGGAAAAAACATGACTGGAAAACTGGTGACAAAGAAATTTAGGGAAGAGGTATGTGGACAGACCTCTCTGAATGGGCAAAACCTGTGAAAAGGTTTGTGTCCCATGTGAGTGCTCACCAAAGGGTGACCTCGGCAGAAGAGGATTTTAATAACCAAGTGGGTAGGATGACCTGCTCTGTGGATGCCAGCCAGCCCCTCTCCTCAGCCACCTCTGTCGTTGCCCAATGGGCTCATGAACAAAGTGACCATGGTGGCAGGGATGGAGGTTATGCATGGGCTCAGCACCATGGACTCCACTCAACATGGCTGACCTGGCTGCAGCCTCCACTGAGTGCCCAATCTGCCAGCAGCAGAGACCAGCACTGACCCCCCATATGGCACCGTTCCCCAGGGTGACCAGCCAGCTACCTGGTGGCAGGTCGATTACACTGGACCACTTCCAACAGGGAAGGGGCCGTGTTTTGTTCTTATCAGTATAGACAGGCTGGATAAGAATTTGCCTTCTCTGCATGCAACGCTTCTGCTGGAACTGCTGCCGGGGCCTTACAGAACGCCTTATCCAGTCATGGTATTCCACGCAGCACTGCGTCTGAAGGAGGAACTCACTCCACGGCAAAAGAAGTGCAGCAATGGGCCCATGTTCACTGAATTCACCGGTCTGACCATGTTCCCCACCATCCTGAAGAAGCTGGTTGACAGAATGGTGAAACGGCTTTTTGAAGACTCAATTACAGGGCTGCCTAGGTGGCAATACCTTGCAGGGCTGGGGCAGGGTTTTCTAGGAAGCTGTATATGCTCTGAATCAGTGTCCAATATGGTGCTATTCTCCCATAGCCAAGATTCATGGGTCCAGGAATCAGGGACCTACGTATACTGGTCCTTGATATTACCTATTACCTCTAACAAATTTGCTTCTCGTTCCCATGACCTTATGTTCTGCTGGTCTAGAGGTCTTACTTCCATAGGAAGGAATGCTTCCACCAGGAGACACAATGATTCCACTGAACCGGAAGTTAAGACTGTCACCGGGCCACCTTGGGCTCCTCATGCCTCTGAATCAACAGGCGAAGAAGGAAGTTACTGGCTGCCTGGGGTGACTGATCCTGATTACAAGGGGAAATTAGACTGCTACCCCACAATGGAGGTAAGGAAGAACACGTCTGGATTACAGGAGATCCCTTAGGGCGTCTCTTGGTATTACCATGTCCTGTGATTATGGTCAATGGAAAACTACAACCCAATCCAGGCAGGACTATGAATGGCTGAGACCCTTCAGGAATGAAGGTTAGGGTCACCCCACCAGGTAAAGAAAGAATCAGGACCAGATGAGATGCTTGCTGAAGGCAAAGGAAATATGGGATGGGTAGGGGAAGAAGGTAGTTACAAATACCAGGTACGATGACACAACTAGTTACAGAAATGAGGATTGCCACGACCATTTCCTCCTTATTTTGAGTACCTGCTTGTGTGTGTAAAGCAAATCTTTCTTTCCTCTCTTATTCTCTTATCACGTAACGTAAGATTTTTACACCATAGAACATAAGTAACAGGGCACCAACAAGAGTAAACATCACCCAAGGAAAACACACACACACACACCTGCAGGTTGTTTCTCTCGACAGCCCTAATACACTGGGCATCAGCGTGTTTGTTTCTTACAGCTCTCCAGGTGATGACGATATGCTTCCAGGATTGATAACTCTGACTTAAGAAATTAGAATTAATTCATGTCAGGAGAAATAAATTTTGGGGAAAAATTCATTACCTGGACTGTTCAGCAGCTGGGAACAAGAAGCAATTATCCAAAAAAGAAAAAAAAAAAAATCACACAAAAACACCAAAAAGTGTTTTGAAAAAGTGCTTTGAGAATTTACTGTACATTTTTTTAACAATTTATTTATACGTTGCCTTCTACATGCTCTTACATTTGTGTAAAACATTTATACATATTCTTTACAATTTGTACATATATTAAATGGCTGTATCATAAACACTGTTCTATGAGATTTTACAAAAGAAAAATCAAGTAGGGAAAACTACTTATAAAACATTAACAAAAACCCGTGATATTAAAGAACAAGAAGTTCTCATATTCATCTTCACTTGATTTCCTCTTCTACTTAATTTTTGGTTTCACTTTATTTATGCTGGCCCAAACTTTCCATTTTCTATAAGATAATTATTAGGTCAGAAAACTGAAAGCAGTTGGAGAACGTCGTAAGGCAGCTGTGGAGGATGGACATCTCGTCTGCAGGAGGGAGGCAGTGCGTGTCTGCGAGTGTTCAGAGTCAAGCTGACGGTTTGCAAAGATTCTCTTTTGCTTTACACCATTAACTGAAGTACTAGTGATCAGAAAAATTCTGCCTGAAGTTTAGGATACAGTCCAGAAGAACGTCACTCTGAACTTCTTCTTGAACACAAATGCTCTGGGATTACTGTGCTTTATTCAAGCTGCCGCCCTAACAGCCCCTAAACTTTTCCATTTTACTCAACTGTGTTCTTCGTCTTTTCAGATTATACCGAGCGGCCCGCTAGTCTACAGTCCACATCAAGGGGCACATCATGCTCTTGCAGGCACTTCTCATTACGTCTGACTGCACGGCTGAGGACTGCAAACAGGGTCGAAAGCTCTGGAGCAGCGTTTGTCCCCCAGAGCACTCCTCCCTGAGCACAGGAGTCAGCACACCGGTTCCACCCCCGGGAGCAGCCAGAGCATTTCCAACACATCCCCAACGCTTTCAAGGGATTCTTTCTAGCGTAAAGCATGCCTTAACCATGCTCAGGAAGGAGGCTCCAGGAGAGAAAGCGCTCCTCAGGGAAGACAACACTTCAAGAACATTCCTAAGGAAAGTGAGGGCAGGTGAATCTGATCGTCGGCTTTTGCCAAGCTGTGTCCCCTAAGGGACAGTGAAGCCCACTGAGGTGCACACGAGGGTGCCGGCAGCCCCAGGAGCCCCTCTCTGCTTCCTCTCTTCTGAAAACGTAAGCACTTGAGTCATAAATATGTCAGTGAAAGGCTTGTGGATTTTCCTAAATAGACAGGAATCCCAAAAGACTGAAAAGTTATAAAAATATACAAACATATATATTTTTTACTCTGGCATATTTCATATTTTTAAGAAAGCAATTAGTAATTATCTGACATTGGGTAAGAATTGGAAGATCATGGGTGACTTATAAATTATAATTTTATGTAAAATATCAGTGGGGGAAACCTCTCATTTTCCATTCAAAATTCTGATAACTTAAGTACTTGCCAAAAATAGAGACAATTTCCACTGGTTAATGACGGGTGTGGCAATGAACAAAAGAAGCCCGTCCCTAGAGAACGGATGCATTTAGGCTGGTTAATAAAGGCAGTTGTTGCAACTCTACTTCTTTTTGGTTTTCTTTCTTTCCTTTTTTTTTGTTTTGGATGACAGGGGGAAAAAAATCGAATTGTATTGCCCCAAGTCAGAAAGAAGCACTTCGGAGTTTTCTTCATGTTCCGTTCTGTCCTACATGACCGGGAAGCGGCCGAGGGCCTGCCTCAGCTTCTCTGCAATCTGGTGAAGAAACAACAATTTTGAGATATTACTCCCATTATGACTTCATAGTATTCTATTATTTCCACCTCTTATGTGTCAAACATTACAAAAATTTCAAATACTTTCACTGGTCTATGCTTCTCGTCTCTTCCGGCAACAACCCAGCTTCCCCTCTGCTGGAGAGGCCTCCTTACACCCCGGGTGGTGTTGCCATTGGCGGTGCCCAGCCTGCAGGAAGCCCCAGCTCCTTCCTAGGCCCAGCCCCTGCCCCTCCACACAGCAGCATTTCCAGACAATTCGCCTTCCCTCCAGTGAGGCTGGAGGGTCGGGTCTCCGTGCTTGCCTAGATTTCCCTGCCATGGTGGACACCTCTGAACTCCTAACACCCAGTTGACTAGCACGGAAACCTGATCACACCCACGGCTACTACACAGCGGGCACACAGTATGCACCCTCTGCATAAGGCTAATGCTGTCCTGCAGTTAGGATTACGGGCCTCTGCTGCCCCCACGGAGACCACACGCTCCTGGAAGACACAGTTGTCTTAGTCATCCCTGAAGCCTGAGCACTGGACTAAGTTCTTAATATACAGGCACTCAATAAGTGTTTGCTCCATGAATAAATATGCAGACTTTAATAATTTAAAGATTACCGTCTGACGAAACTATGTTAGCTCTAACAAAGATAGTCATTAAATACCTGGTTTTCTATTTTGAATTATAATGTAATTGATAATTAAACCTCACTCGGCCTTGAGAATTATTTAACAAATCAATATTATCAGAATTTCAAGAGGTGCCCTTCAATTATTTTCTCACACAGAACAATGTAATCTGCTATTCTAATACACAATGAAAGGCAGCCCTACCGGCACCAGTTAATAATAAAAAAGTGTGCAGTTAGAGAGCACAGGAACCACACACTGGGAGGAAGAAGGCTGCTGAAGGGAATTCTTTCTGTGAGCTCGTCTCTGAAACCAACTGTCTCCAACCCACAATTCACAATATGCATTAAGCACTTCAGTCAGAGCTCCCGTTCAAGAATCTGCTACTGGAGACAGACGTTTTCGGCAGTGTCTAGCCCAAAGGTGACACACGCATGGATGTGAATTGGGGGCTTGCCTACCATTATTCCTGAACACACGTGAGATGATACCACGGAAACAGTGGAACACTTGCGTAAGACACACACAGCAGCCAATACATGGTCAATTATAAAGTCACAGGACCTGTCTTCAGATGCCTGTGTTTCCATTGACATGCTAGATCTGTTTTCTGTACACTCTGGTAAACAACAAAATTACTGTGCAGAGGCATACAAACTTATGTTTTCATTATTGTTTTCTGAATGAAAATATTTAAGGTTTTGCGCTCTCTCTTTTGTTTTCTTTCTGAAATTCCTCTGGGACACTGTGAAACCTCACTGGCAAACAAAGAGGGCCTGTGGTGTCTGTGCGGTGCCAGGCTCCGGCCCCAGCAGAGAGCCTGCTCTCATCCACAGCATCCCTGTGCACACACAGGCTGGGAGGGAGGGCAGGGACCACACAATGAGGGCTTCTTGGGCCTCACAACCAGCACCCAATACCCTTTCTTCTTCAAAAGAAAACCTTTTCTAACCCAGTGTTAACTCAAAAAGGAAAAGGCAGATATAATTAAAAGTGATTTAAAAAAAAACCCTGTTCAATATTTAGCCTCCTTTGGTTTATTACTTAGAATTAAAAAAATACAAACAGATGAACTTTATGCGGTCAGAGTAAGGGACCAGGAAGCCCCTCTGCCATGCGCGCACGAGGGCCCGGGAGGAAGGCCGACTCACCGTCTCATAGAACTGCACTTGCTGATCCAGGTACAGGCGGATGACGCTGTTGTAGTCGTAGATCCGGTTACTGTGGAAGTGATTCATCTCAGCTACAACCAAAACCAAGACATCCGTCAGTCCCCCAAGACGCCCAAGGACACCACCTGGTATCTCTGCTTGGTTAGGCTCCACCACCAACTGGACTTAATCTGGTTGGCAGCAGGCACTGCCAGTTCTCGGCAAATCACTTCATAAAGAGGCTAGAAAAACAACTCGAACAGCTGATGGCAAACACCACTTTCCAGGAGATGGATGATTTTTGTTGATCTGCAAATTAAATACTATGAAATCCAGTACGGATAATCACCCAGATGGGGACTATTGTTTTAACAGAATTGATTGAGTAGGAAACTGACGTGGTGTATTCTCTACACGTGATAGCAGTTCAGAACGTCAAGTCTGTTTACGTAAAGGTGGACCTGGCAGGGCTGCCTGGTGCTCCACGTCCCCTCTCGCACAGCGACCACCTAGGCATGTTTCTCGAGGTGCCTCTGAAAGGCTGAGCAGATGAGGACACGCAGTGGAAGACCCTCTTCAGCCATGGAGCTTTGCAGCCCGAGCACCAGGCCTCAGACCTCAACCTCTTATCAGGCAATAGGATCGAAGCCCATTTTTCAACTGTGCTGAACATATCAATTCAGCAAATGAATCCCTTATTGAAATCTGTCTCTCAGTACCACACCTACCCCATCACCAACTCCAGCGAGGCCTCCCTTATCAGAGCTCCTCATCACCTCTCCACCTGCCTTCTCCCTCATATCCCAGGCCTAGAGAGCCAAATGCTGGCATAAATTCCCACAGAAAGCCTACTGTTCTGAGTTTCATATTAAGTTACCTGAAGTTGTACAAAATTTCTCATTTACCTCAAACGTAAGTTCAAAACCAAATTCCCCATTTCAAACCCTTAAAACTCAAATCTTCAATCAAGTTTCCCCCTTTTCTGTCCCTAGTTGCCTTAGTTCTGGAAATCTTGCACACATTCTTCTCTTTCTCCCCTAATTCCCTAGTCCTCAAGGTTGCTCCTTGGAAAAGCCTGCAAATATGCTTCCTTCTCTTCCCCCTGCACCTCATCTTCTTCAGGTCCTCAAACTCCCAGACTGCAGAAGCGCTGGTCTTCCGCTTGGGCTGTCTGACTAACATCTGCCCCATCCATGTAACTATCAAACCCTTCTCCCTTGAGCACTGCTTTTTCTTAATGGCTTCTTAATGCCCCCATCAAGTCTAGACTCTTCTGCCTGGCTTTAAAGGCCCTCCACAATCACCAAAATTTATTCCCCAATAACCTGCAAGTGTGCTTTATTCCCGAAGGCCAGTGACAGAACTGGACCATTATTTTGTGTACTTCTGGTCATATTTTAACACCCCTCCCCTTGCTCCTTTGCCCCTGCACATTCTATCCATCCACCAAAGCAGGAAAAATCCATTCACTGCTCCTATCTACCGGAAAACACTCAAAGATATAAAAATTAATTGATATCTTTTTACTAACAGTCAAACTATGCCAAAAATGCTACGTCCAAACTCCCTTTACACCCTGTGGTCCTGGGGCATGGAGGTTACACACTGCTGAAGGCTGGACTCTGGAATCTAACAGAGCATTACGAAAGGCACTGATATTAGGGGCTAGAAAAGGCATCTCCAATGTCTCTAAGAAATAAAAATGTACAAGTTTAATCAAGCTGTCATTCACAATTATGTCAGGTAAATGTGTGAGAGTAAATAAACATGCAGATTTTCATTAATGCTAGGATCCTGCAAACAAGAGGCTTATGAGGATATTTTAAATCAGCTTTTATTTATTTAACTGCTATTCACAGTTGGCTTTCTCTCCAGTGAGGAAAATAGCAACTTTGCTGGGGGGAAAATTCTCCACCAGCTACACACAAACCTCTGGTCTTACCTTGCAACGCGTAGGACATGGTGCCGACGCGTTTCACCATGTTCTGCTTGTCCTGTGGGGTGATCTTGCTAGTGGCAACCAGTTTATCACTTTCTTTCACTTTTTCTATAGCTCCCTGTGAAATACAAAATGCAATGGTATTAAGAAAACAAAGCTAAAAGGATTAGTCATTCGTTTAAAATATAACAGTGCTACCATGTTCTATTACTGACTCGCTTGTTACTTTTATAACCTGAACAGGAAAATGTCCCCACAAAATAAGAACACAGGAAAGCACCTAAATGTAACTTCCTGTAAGTCACTTGGAAGCAAAAAGGCTGCTATTGAAAAATATCACTCGGCTAAGATTTACAGTTTTACGCGACAACAAAATAGGAAACCAAAGAGCACGCTATTTCTGTATATTTACAAGCCATTCCAGCGTGAGAGTAGGACATAAGAGGAAAGCAGGCGTTGGCAGGTTTGGCAAGTCATCTGAGTAGGGACAGTCTACCGTATGCACAGGGGTCCCCTCTGTCTCTTCTGTTACAGAGTGTTCTATAAGCCGGCGTTTACGCGTGCTGATCGCCAGGCTGGAGCTTTATTATGACGTCTGTAAGAAGCAGCAAATCAACTTTAAAGTAATACCTGGATGGAAGTAGTTGTAAAAGCTGCCACCGTCTCCCTCTCCAGGATCATCACATCGCTCATGACTCAGCCGTGTGGAAAGAAAAACTCTCTACTCCTGCGGAAATTAGGCTCCACGCCTAGAACTCTAACTCTGCTGGCATAATTTCCCACAACAAGCTAACTGTTCTGAGGGTTCTTTTAACGGAGATTTTTATTTTCCCCCCAGTTTAACTGAGAGACAACTGACATACAACATTATATTAGTTTAAGGTGTACAACATAATGATTTGACAGGTATATATATTGTGAAATGATTACCACAATAAGTTTTGTTAACATCTATCACCTCACACACTTACAAACTTTTTTTTCCTCGTGATGAGAATTCTTTGAGACCTGCTGTCCTAACAATTCCACTTCTGGTAATATATCCAAAGGAAACAAAATCACTATCTCAAACAGCTTGCTACACCCCCATGGGCACTGCCGCATTATTTACAATAGCCAAGATATGGAAACAACCTAAGTGTCCATTGACAGATGAGTGGATAAAGAAAATGTTCTGAGTTTTCTGTTATCTGAAGCTGCACAGACTTTCTTATTTACCTATGCCACCTCTTCACGATACTTCAATTACAAGCCAAATGCTAAAACAGCCACATGTCAGGATTGTTAGGCTCACAGATCAGTCCTTTATCGAGATGTTCCTAACAAATCCGAATACATCACAACATCCTAGAGTACTACAGTTGATAAAATACCCATGAATCTGAGGTTAATATACAGATTTTGAAACAGGGAGAGAAAAATTAACCAGAATCGAAATGTGAGGACACCCTAAACCAATTTTTCATTTAGTTTAAAAATATATATATACTTTTTTTTTTTGGTGATGAAGATTGGCAACCGATGTTAGCTCAGGGCCAATCTTCTTCTTTTTGCCCAAGGAAGACTGTCGCTGAGCTAACATCTGTGCCCATCTTCCTCTATTTTGTACGTGGGATGCTGCCACAGCCTGGCTTGATGAGCAGTGTGTACATCTATGCCTGGGATCTGAACCCGCAAACCCAGGGCCACTGGGCCGGCCCCCTAAAAGTATCTTTCTGATGGGAATTAGATAGTTTCCTTTTTATTAATATAAGCATATAAAATCAATATTGCCCATTTTAATTTTAATTAGGAAACCCTTCACTAGGCTCAGGAACAGAAAATCTTATTTTGCCTTGACAGGGAAGGATCTTTGAGGACTTGCCCACGCAGCCTACAGGGGTCTCACTGATAAGGGAAAGTATTATTCCTGTTATTGTCTGGAATTTCAAACCCCATCATAATTTTGTTTGATACCTGATCTAATTACATGCATAAAGAAACACTGTTCGTCTTTTTAGTTCCCTCAAAACAATCTTTTTATAGAATAACAGAAATTTAAAAACCACCCATGTAGCTAAACGTGTCATGGGACCTCACTATTGAAACACATCAGCAGTTCCAGCTGACTTCAGAGGGCCTCCCCTCCTGACTCAGGAGTGGGCTGAACGGCGAGGCCGAGCCGGTGGCCAAGCACGTGGGCCCTGACTGACCAGCGTCGTCCTCCGTAAACTTCCACGATCCAGTTACCTTGTGAGCGCCAATGATATCGGGGAAGCAGCCAAGGAAACCCTTGTATTCATGATTACACTCCATCAGGAAATGGAGATCTTTCTTTGGCTATAACAAGACATAAGTTGGTTGTTATTGGCAGAGGAATTCAGACAATCAAGGAAAAGAAAACTGTTAGATCTGAGGACTATGTTAGCCAAACCCACCTCCAAGGGACTACGTTAAGTTATTGAATGTTAAGCATTCAGCCTCGTTTTCCTGTAAGAAAACAGTCCCCAACACTACTATACTCTTGATCACAGGTTGTAAAGAAAATAAAACATCAAATAATTTTTAGGTTGGTTGGTAAAATTAGCTATTTTGAGGTGGCCCAAAATATAACACTGTAAGGAAAAAAGCCTAGTTAATGTAGTGTGTTTACATATAAGCAAATAAGATGTTATAGTTTAATGTCTAAATTTTAGTAGAGAATATAAAAACATTATTAAATCTGGTAATCATTTTAAGTGGTAACTTTAAATTTTTCCATTTTTCCGAGTTATAATTTTTTTTTTTTGGTGAGGAAGATTCGCCCTGAGCTAACATCCATTGCCAATCCTCCTCTTTTTGCTGAGGAAGACTGGCCCTGGGCTAACAGCTGTGCCCACCCTCCCCCACTTTACATGTGGAACGTCTGCCACAGCATGGCTTGATGAGTGGTGCGCAGGTCCGAGCCCAGGGTTGGAACCCGCGAACCCTGGGCCGCCAAAGCGGAGCGCACGAACTTAACCACTACGCCACGGAGCTGGCTTCACTGAGTTATAATTTTTAATAGCTATGTCATGCACAGTTCTAAAAATTGATCTTTTTTTTTTTTTTTATAATTTTATTTATTTATTTTTCCCCCGAAGCCCCAGTAGATAGTTGTATGTCATAGTTGCACATCCTTCTAGTTGCTGTATCTGGGACGCGGTGTCAGCACGGCTGGAGAACCGGTGCGTCAGTGCACACCTGGGATCTGAACCTGGGCCGCCAGCAGTGGAGTGCGCACACTTAACCGCTAAGCCACGGGGCCGGCCCCAAAATTGATCTTTTTTACACGTATCAGGCGGGTGGTTAATGTCCACATGAATGTGCACGCATGTGTGCACATATTTCAAGAAGTCATCTGAAACAATTTTTTTTTCAATTTAGGAATTTGAAACAACTTAGATGGGAACTTATTGTTATTTGTAAAAAGAATTGAAATCGGGCTACTGAAGACTCCAGTAAAAGCCACGTGGCTGTGACAAAGACCTGCTCCACGCCAGGGACCTGAGCGGGGGCTTCCTCCTTATTAGCTGTTGCATCCTGAGATCCTTACGAGGTAGGTGCTACCGTCAAAATTTACCAGATGAGGAAACCAAGGCCCAGAGAGGCTACATAAGAGTCCAGCTGGGGACCTGAGCAATGCCCTTTCCTGTATGTTCTAAGCCCCTGATGGCTAAGAGTGGATCTGAGCCATCAACACTGGAAGGTACTCATTTAGATTTCTTGATGACAAATTTATCCATCACCTTAGCTTAACCTAAGAGACACTGTGACCAAATACACTTTACATAGGGAGAGACAAGAGGACGATATCCGTTTGGAAAGTCTGTCTTAAAACAGGTTTTAAATTGAATATGTGGATTGGCTGGCACAAAGTCTTCAGTGGAATTGCGTGTTCATGTTAATACCTGCTCTGCCACGAGACTGGCAATTTCTTCGTAAGTCTTTCCTGCTTCTGTTATCGCATCATTGAGATCTGTTTCACCTGAAAACCATCACACTTCTGTCAGTGGTTATGTTTTCTTTCCATTTATTCAAAAAATTTATTACAGAAAGTTTAAAACTTGTAAAAAGTAGAGACCAGTACAAAGAGCCCCCATCTACCCACCACCTGGTTTCCCTGTTAACAGCTCAGGGTCAATCTCCTTTCACCTGTACTGTCCACTTCCTACCGCCCCCTTTCACCGGTCACATGACATTTCACCCATAGACTTTACCTAAAAGATAAGAAGTCTTTTAAAAATGAGGACAATACACCAATATCACACCTCAGAAGACAACTGTTCCTAGTATAAATTATCCAGTCAGGAAGCTGGCATCTCGAATCAAGTTGGCTCATTGAATCAGGACGCCAAGAAGGTCCACCTGGCATGAGCCGACGGGTTTTTTAAATCTACAGGCTCCTTCTCCCCTTCTCCCCTTTTTTTCCTGGCAAATTTCTCTTTGGGGGTTGAAGAAGCAGCTCATTTGCCTTGGTACACACCCCCCGGCCCCCGCCCCGTCTGCGTTCTGCTGACTGCATCTCTGTGGTGATGATTTAACACAGTCCTGTCTCCTGTACTTTTTTTTACACTACTCATTAGATCTAGAGGCTTGATCAGATTCAGAGGACATGATGTCCACTTATTTCTATTCTGTGTGATGTTAGAAGCCACAAAGGATCACTGTCAAGATCTTCCATTTTAGTATGGGTTTGCAAAATGCTGCTATTCTACTTCTATCACCCCTCCTCTATTAGCTGAAATACTTCTCTAAAGACAAACTTCCCTTTATCAACTTTTTGGTTACCTTGAGGTATAGTTTGAATAGGAAAAGCAGGTTAAATACTTGATTCCTTCTCTTCACAGTCTTCAGAATGAGTTGATTCCCTACCATCCTCTAAAGGTGACTGAGATTAACATTGTTTAAGCATCACTGCAAGTCTGGATTGAAACACTGACATGCTTCACTCCACAGCAATGATTATTTTCACTAACGTTCAAATCTTCTCCTCACTGGCCAGTGGAAGGCTCTTCAAATTGGCAGCAGAGTTCTTCTGCTAAGCAGGAGCCCTGGTTCATTTTGGGGTGACATGGTGTTTAGAAATCACCAGGTAGGTGATATTAGGGGTGCCTTTTGCTACTGGATTGGATCATTGTTTCTACGCATCGACCAGGATAACAAGTGAATTGTTCTTTAAAAATTCTATGATCTAGCTCTGAATGATTTCTAAGTTTTATAAGTGACTTCAAGTGACAAGAGACTCCAAATCTGGGCACATCTGTTATAACCTAGCAATGAACTCTGAAATTACTGGAAGGATCATTGTTAGGCTTAAAAATCTAAACTTGGAGAAGTTCCATTTCTAGTTAGGATGTGGATGACTGCAAAAGACTGCTGCTCTCATCATAATAAGAAAATACCAAATAAACCAAAAAGTCATACTTTTCCTTAAAGTCACTGAAGCACTGCAGGAATGAAGAAATCCAACGGAATTAATCCAGAAAGAGGGGAGCCCTGCACCCTAGGCAAGCCACTGAGTCTGGGGGCACGGGTGGCTGGGAAAGGGAGCCTTCCATAGGCAGAGGAACTCTGCTGGGACAAGGAGGCACCCACCGAGCTTGTACCAGAAGCACGTGGGCTGGTGTGAGGGAACAGACCTGGAAGGGCCCCAGATGCAGAGCTAGTTCTCCCACAGGGACTTTGCGGACTAAGAGGTGATGGTGGGAAGTGAGGGTGGGGGTGAAGAACAGAGAGGGACCTCAGGGAGGTTTAAGGAAGGCGTGGATTCAGGTGAGCTCTGACATGTAAGGATGCCATGGGGACCAACCAGATGTTTTTCCAGACTCTCCAGAACAAATGCTCTCATCCTGTCAAGATACCACAGAACCACAAAGACGAATGGGCTCTTAGAGACCCACCCAGCTCCTAGCAATGGGTATGGCTCTAGTCTGGGCTCCTCCATCAAGCGCCTGTGGTACCCTGGCCAAGATGCTTATCCTTCCAGGCTTAGGGTCCTCATCTTGAAAATGAGGGAGCCAAACCAATCTTCAAAGTTCCTGTCCAGTCTAAAAGTTCTGATTACAAGACACGTTTCAGACAGGCCAATGAGAAATAGTCATATATGGGGGCCCCAAATCTTAAATTTTGGTGAGACTAATTTCTTGTTCCTGAAAATACTCAGACACTGACATCCAAAGACCTGTCTTCCCTGGGTATCAGGATAAACATTTTAGTGAAATAAGTGTTTGAGTATTTTCAAATACTTTAAAAATTTAAAATTTAAAATTAAAATTAAATTTGAATTAAATTAAATTAAAAAAAAAATAAACCAATTCTATTGTTTCGGTAAGTGATGAGACACACTCCAATTTAGTAGGTACCACTCACCTGACAAATACTTTTACTTCCTACCTGCTCCATAAGCTTAGCAAACATAAACCAAAATATAAAGGAAAAACAGCTCAAGTGTTTTCACAAGTGTCGTCAATGTAAACGGACAATGAACTCGAAATACCACAGGTAAGACACAGAATATGAGATAAGCTGAAAATAATGAGTTGCGGAGAGACATAAGGCAACATGGATTTGTTACTCAGTCAAAAATTTTTCCTCCCAATGACCTTGACGGGTTCTGGCCTTTATAACAGGAAGACCTGACTTCAGTTTGGCAGAGAGATGAAAGCAAGGGCAGACTGTTACGTATCAGAGCCAGACGTCTTATTAAAACACAAGGGCTATATCTGAGCACAAAGAAACTAGCAAAAAAATATAAATTACAGCAACCCTCCACTTTTCTCAAAAGTAATAAGGGGAGGTTGCGAAAGTCCCGAGTAGAGTAGCCTGGCCACTGTGAGCACCAGTGACAAGGGGTCTTAACTGCAGGGTTACTGTTTGTCTGCAAGAGCCTGAAGAGGGCGGTCGGTCTGGATAAGACACTGAAGGCCCAAAGAATAAACAAACACAGACGTACCTTGATAACCACTAGAACTAAACACTGTTGCTAAACTCTGCAAGGCCTTTCCTATCTTCTGATATTCCTTGGGTAATGCTGAAAGAGAAAAAGGAACAAATTGTTAACGAGGTCTCCAAGCAAACAGAAATGGGTTTCAACTATTTTCTAAAAGTGATTACTTTTATAATAGAAGAAATTTAAAGTGATTTAAAATAGTCTATGTTCTTTAATAAGATGATTGTTTCTTTCAATAACATTTTTTCAATTTTTCATTAATTGATTGTTCAATGAATGGTGGATGCTATTATTATTCACCACCACCACCACTGCCCACATTCTCATTCACTGAATGAAATCAAAGAGAAGTGGAAGCTCATTTAGAAGGTGATTTCTAGTTGACGGAGTACTTTCATATACACCACCTGACTTGATCTTCACAAGAACTCCCTCAACAGATGCAGATATACCATCGCCATTTTGTGGGTTAGGAACACAAGGCTCAGATAGGTAAACTGACTTGCCCAGCGTCACATGGCTATCAATGGTGGATTTGGCACTTGACATTCAAACTACATTGCTTTCCCCACTGTTACGTATGTATGAATGATTACTTACAAAACAAAACAAAATAAAACTGGAAGCAACAAAATGTGGAGAAAAATAGACAATAGGCTTCATATGACCAGGGAGCAGGAATTTTAGTTTTCTTGTCTGTATCATAAGATTAATGAAATGATCTCTAAGGTTCCCACTGGTGCTAAAATTGTAGGAGTCTAGGATCACTGTGGAGAACTTCCTAGAGAAGAGTCTCTGTATCTTAGCCTATTTTCTTTGCATCCGTATATAGTCCTCTTGAACATATCTGTTGCCTTTCAAAAGAAACCATTATTTGCATTTGAAGACTTAGCGCAGTATTAAAGAAGAAAAATAATTCAAATGTTTCTTTAAAAAAATCTAGTCCAGAGAAATGTGAAGTACGGTCTGTAAGCTGCAGTCATTAGGAAACTGTTTTCAAACCATATTAGCTTAGATAATTTTAATAAACTGTTTACCCTTTCGTAACTCAATTTTTGCCTCTATACCAGGATTAAAGATGCTCGCCGTGTGCTTCACCACACCCAGTATGTGCTAGACTTCTCACCTTACAGATTAGGAATTTTAAAAAACTTTTTTTCTGAGAGAAAAGAGGAAAGAAGATAAGTTTGAATCAGGGCCGGCCCCGTGGCTTAGCGGTTAAGTGCGCGTGCTCCGCTACTGGCGGCCCGGGGTTGGGATCCCGGGCGCGCACCGACGCACTGCTTCTCTGGCCATGCTGAGGCCGCGTCCCACATACAGCAACTAGAAGGATGTGCAGCTATGACACACAACTATCTACTGGGGCTTTGGGGAAAAAAAAAAAAAAAAAAATTAAAAAAAAAAAAAACCAGTTTGAATCAAATTCTAAACAAAGCACTTCAAACTCCCCCTCCTCCCAAAAAGAGTAGCCGTAAGCTGATAGTCTGTATCTCACAGATTTGGTCTTATGGGTTATACAGGACATACGGTGGATTAGATGTCAGGCATAAGGATTTAATTCTTCAAAAGAAATCATAATCCCAGGTTTCTGTGATATCCCTAAAAGATCTGATTGTTAGATTTACACTCATTTAAAATATTTCTAAAAAAAAGGAAAACAGCTTTCAATGAACATACAGATTTAAATGAGTTGTTAGTCTTGCCTCCTAAGAGTTTACAGTTAAAATTATTTTAAAATTAAATTACTATTTTAGTGATGTCACCCTGCCTTCCGTTCGTGAGTTATTCCCTGCGACCAAAGCCTTGAAATGGATTTTGTTTTTTAATGCTGCATTTGTATATACTATTTTTTCAGGCTTAGTTCTGCATTTAGGACACAGCATCATATTTCTTTGCCATGAGAAAAGAGTAACTGTGATTATTCCTGGTGTCGGGCCCTCAAGCGTGAGAGATTGGTACACTACAAGTGACTTTGCTGATATATTATGTGATGGTAGAGGGCCATTCAGCGTAAGACATGGCCTTTTTTCTGCAAAGGGCCAGACAGCAAATATTTCAGGCTTTGTGGGGCCACAGGTTTCTGCTGAAAGCACTCAACTTTACCACTGTAACAGGAAAGTAGCCACAGACAGTACGTAAATAAATGAGCATGGCTGTGTTCCAATAACACTTTATTTACAAAAATAGGCGGCAAGCCAGATCTGGCCAGCAGGCCATGGTTTGCCAACTCCTGATATAAGGCTTCGATTTTGGGTCTGGATTTAATAGATCTTAATATTGCTATTAACTTGGCTTTGCTATTTTAATAATTCATCTACAACTCACTCCATGATTCAGTTTCTTGTTCATTAAAATTATTTTTTGACTTCAAAATTCTAGTTCTTTTCCCTTATTTAGAAGAAAAATACCACCTTTTAAAAAATCTTTACAAAAACAGATAATTAAGCTCCTTCATATGCTGAGTACCACAGTACTGATATATTTTAAAGGTGGGTATGTACTACTTTTACAATTCAAACTAGAAAGCATTTTTATTTTTAAGAAATAACTGACCACAACCAGTATTCCTCTAGGGTATATGAGTTGAAGGCCAGAAAATTCTTCGTGAGCGACTAGCAGTGCCTCTTTTTCCAGAGACTAATGCGGATGATCCACAGCTAGAGCTCAGTCTTCTCTCTGGGACTCAGAAGGCTGTGCTGGCAGCAAGGGCAGGATGGCTGCATGCACAGGGGAGGAACCTCCTGGACTCTAAGGCAGTCGACGGTATCTGTGTGAATCTACCGCAGCAGTGGTCGGCCTCTCTACAGCCTTCTGAGCCTCAGGGGTAAGGGGGCAGCACGCTGTGGCGTGGTCCCCACAGCTGGACCCTGGACTACGTCTCTCCCCTGGGCTACCTGACAACAGAGCTGCACGGTTCCGGGAGCACAGGAAAACATGGTCCAGCAGAATGACAGTCTACAAATGAAGGGGAGGAGGGGACACGAAGTTCTCGAGGACATGGAAACAGCGGGGAAAGCTGGGGCTGCCACTGCCTCTTTCCCCTCAGCCCTACTCCTAGTCTGACCCTCTTATATATTTTCTACTACCAATTGTACTGGGTTTTCCCCAAAATTAGGGCTTTAGTCAAACATACAACATTTTCCCAAATGGATGAAGATTAAAAAGTAAAATTCTAAGATTAAAAATAACCACAAGCACTCTCTAAATATGCAGAAAAGATGAATTTTCCATAGGTTACAAACCCCAAATAACTGGAAATATTTAGGTGAATACGGTGTTTTTTATGAGAGTTCTTGAGCTGGCTTTGTGGAAGCGTTTTCTAGGGTTGAGAAGTGAGGTTCATCACAGAGCTACGGGAGTGACAAGACTCCGGTTCACTACGTGCATTTCTGTCTGAGGGGTGCGGTGCCCCAGTGAGCAAAGGTCATGCAGCTGAGCCTGCACTGCCCCCTCCAAACACCAGAGGACGGCACTTACGTCCTGTGCACCGCTTCCAGTGCTCCTGGCCCACGGTCAGCAGCTCCTTCACACCATCATCCATGGCTTTGGTAAATTTACCCACAGCATCACACTTCTGTTCTCTGTGGGGCAAAAACACAAGAAGACATGTCCTTGACTTTGCTAGCAAACGTCCCAACAGGGGGAGGTGTAAGAGGAGAAAAAATCACTGTGGAGGGGAGACTCACACCAAACATAACCATAGGTGCTTGCTTTCTTGCATTATAACAATGGCCTTTCAACTAATTAGTCATAAAAACAGGCTTGATTCAGGTTTTTAAAGAACTACTTAAAAATCTGCCATTTATATTTTAACTCTGCTTCCTTTCTACCTCAATTCCTTGTGACTTTTAACTAAAATTATTCTACAGTAAATAAAATAATCATTTCTTGAACATCTTATTTAGTGAAATTCGATCACTGAAGGTACCAGTGACTCTATAAAACCACAGTGTGAGCTGCTAATGGTAGCTGTTCGTTCATTCCAGCAAGTACTTTAATGAGTCAGAGAAAATAACCCAGATGCACAAGCATCTAAGTGATACTGAACGTACCAGTTCTTTAAGGACGTAAAAAAGTATTTATGAACCTGAAAAAGTCATCACAATATACTCCTAAATGAAAAAAGCAGATTATAAGACAAAATGCATAGTGTGAGGTCATTTTTATTTAAAAAATTTTTCCTTTTGATACATATATACAGAGGAGGGTTTGGAAGACCATAGACCTAGGCCAACATATTAACACTGATTTTCTCTCTGGGTAGCTGGAAGATTGCAGGGTTTTTTCTTGTCTGTATTTTTGGTAACATGTAGGCAATGATTTTATAAGAAAAAAGCTTCTAAAAAAAAAAAAAACACCCAAGATTTCTTGCTGGTCCTTACATAGAAAAGGAACTACTCCACATTTTCAGCCAAGCCTACATTACAAAAAAGATTACACAATTAAAAACAACAGATTAAAAAAACACAGAAAAGCAGGCGAGACTGCTTCTTTCAAGGCAATGTTCAAAGAAATTTCTGCTTTGTTGAGTATTATGTGGGTGTTAGCTGGCTCTGGGCCACTTTGTTTCGGCATACTTTATTGGAAATAACTACTAACCACTGTGCCAACTATGAAATCACTGACTTCAAGGTAAAAAGGAAGCAGACTTCAATCTGATGTTATGGTTAGAAAGACAGTGCTTTCATGTACAAATGATGCCTTCCTTTCATCTGACTACAAACCCCACTCATTTCATACGCTCCAATCCGACAATCTGAATTCCAGTTGTAGTTGGCCAAAACCTGTACGCAAAGGAGGTGGACACAGTTTGAGAGAAGGAAAGTTTGCCAAAATCTCTTACATTTCTAGTAAGTCCAAGTCAGGTGCCTCTGGTTCCATGGTGGAAAATATCATAACTCCCACCAGCTCATCCTTCTCAGCCTTCCTCTTCCCAGTTTTCCATTCCTGTAAATAGGAACATTATGATATTACAGCGAAGAGCAGAGTCAAACTGGTCTTTCAAAATTCCCCAATAGAATCGGCTCACTGATCATCTTTATTTTTCTCACTTTCAGGAAGCAGCTCCCACGCCATCTCCCTCTGTACCATGGGCCAAATGCCATACATCTCAAACACGATCTCGTACATGAACAGGTCACTGCACAACGGTCCTATGAGCCCAAGTCCTTCAGAGCGAGGTCATTCAGCCACTTTTCTTTTCCCAATGCGTACCAATAGAAACACAGTGAATGTAAACACACCCTATGAAGGTTGACAAAGTGCCTCAAATTTTTAGGTTAACTGCTCTCTAAAAGAAGGTTAAAGCTTTTCTAAAATACAAGATAGGAACCAACATTAGAGCTATTTTTAAAAAACATACTATTGCAAGATACATACGTATACAGAAAAGTGACCAAAGCAAAAACACACAGTGCAATAATGAATTCTCACTAAGTGAATTCCTGTGTAACTACCACCAAGGCCAAGGAAGAGCCAAGAGCTAGCATTCCAGAAGCTCCTCATGCCCCTTCCCAATCGCTACCCCTTCCCTCCCCAACAAAGGTGACCATTGTCCTCTCTTCTATGGTTATCACTTCCTTACCTCTCTTTAGAGTTTGACCGCCTAAGCATGAGTCCCTAAACGACAGGTCTGCTAGTTTTCTGAACTAGCAAAGAACCCTATGCTATGCATTCTTTTGTGTCTGGCTTCTTTTGCTCAACCTGTGCTTAAGAGCTACACCCACATTGTTGTTTTAGCTGTAGTTCACTCATTCCATTGCTGTATAATATTCCACTGTATGACGATTCCCCAATTTACTTATCCATTCTACTACTGGCAGCCACTCCTGGCCCCTGCCAAGTTATGAATAAAGTTGCTCTGTACACGTCTCCTGGTGTAAATGTGTACATATTTCTGTTAGGTATATACCTAGGATGGAAAAGTGTACAGCTTTAGTAGGTAATGCCCAACTGTTTTCCAAACTGGTCTTACCAATTTTCACACCCACCAGCAGTGTGTGAGAGTTCCAGCAGCAACTCATCTCAAGCAGACACTTGATATGGTCAGTCTTTCTAATTTTAGCCATGTTGGTGAGTGTGTAGTGGTATTCACTGTGGTTTTAAGTTGCATTTGCTTGATTACTAATGAGATTAAGTACATTTCTATACATTTGTTGATGATTCAGATACTTTCTTTTGTGAAGTACCAAATCTATTTTTGTACTGGGTTGATTATTTTTCTTATGTATTTGTATGGGTTTTCACATATTCTAAAACCCAGCCCTTTGTTGGTTATATATGTTCACATTTTTAGCTTGTTTTTCACTTTTAATGGCTTCTTTTGATAAACAGAAGTTCTTAATTTTAATGTGGTTCAATTTATCTATCTCTTCCTGTATGGCTAGTTATTTTTGTGTCTTATTTCAGAAATCCTTCCCTACTGTAGGGGTGTGAAGATATTCTCCTATGTTACATTCTAAAAGCTTTATTGTGTTGCCTTTCACATTTACACTTTCAAACCATCTGGAATTGATTTTTTTTTTTTAATTTTATACAATAGAAACTTTCAAACATATACAAAAGTAGAGAGAAAAGTATAATGAACCCCTACAGACTCAGCTTCAACAATTATCAACATTTTGCCAATCTTGTTTTATCTACTCTCCTCCATCCTTTTATTTTTTCTTGCTTATTTTAATAGACATCTCAGACATAATATCCTTTCACCTATAATATCTCATTATATCTCTTTAACATAGAAGGCCATGTTTTAAAAACATAACCACAATACCAATATCAACAGATTATTGTGAGGTAGTGACCAAATTTCCTTTTTCCCCAATGGTGCCATCCAATTGACCCAACATCATTTATTGAGAAGACTGTTCTTCCCCGACTGTACTCAGCACCATCTTTGTCATAAACCAAGTGTCCACTGTATTCTGCTCTACTGGTCTGTTTGTCTATCCTTATTGCCTAGACTATGCTTTTAAAATTACTTTAGCTTTATAAAGAATCTTGATATCCAATTAAGTCTTCCTGCCACTTCCTTCTTTTTCAAGAACATCTTGGCTATTCTTAGCACTTTGATTTTCTACATATGACATTTTTTCTGTGCTTCAATCCATGAAGCAGTATTGGAAAATTTATTTAGGTCTTTTATTTCTCTCAACAACGTTTCATAGTTTTTTACGTAGATATTTTAGTACATTTTCTTATCCTTATTCCTGGGTATTTGATATTTTTGATGCTATTGTAAATGACAGTTTTTTTAGACTTTCCTTTTTGTTTATTGCTCATATATAAATATGCAAAGTCTTGTATCCAGCTATCTTACTAACCACTTATTTCTAAGCATTTTTCTGTAGATTCTCTGGGATATTCTACGTCTATCCATCTATATGAGCTCTACTGACCACAGAATCACAGTTTTTAGTGATTATCTAGTTTTACACTGTCATTTAGCAGAAGAGGAAATTGTGGCCAAGAGATTAAATGCTGTGGCTGAGATCACGGAGGTAGTTAGAAGCAGAACCAAGACTAGAACTCAAGTGCCCTGACTCCAAGTTCTTTCTTTTTTCTGTTATATCAAAACCACCAAAAAAGCCAATGTCTAGACTTACTATTAAACCCTTGTTCAAGCCCCAGTTAGGCAGTAAACCTTGATTGAGTTCCATTAATTTTTTACTACAAAGTAACAACACTGATTTAACAGAACTCGAAGAACCTTGTTTCACTACTGTATGGCTACACGACACACTGTGACTGAATATCACATCTCACCAGAAAAACTAGAGTTTTCTAGAGCAGCCTGCAAGGCTAGATCCATGACACACAAATTCACCAGGAAGTGCTGAAACACCTCAGTGTTTTCTAATTCCCGGCCCAGTTACGCACCACACATTCAAACGAGCCCATCAATCCCAGAAATAGACAGTAATTCAAAATAAGGCCCAAATACTGCAACTATGTTACGTGCATGCATACACCCGTAAACATACACAGAGCCCTAATAGTTACGGTTGTTACTGTAAATGTGTTCACTCTACGAAGGGAAAAGTACTACAAAGAAGTTTAGCAAGTAAATTTCTGCAAGTTCCAACAAGGTATAGAATACTCTATTATCTGATCAAACATGAAAAGGATGTCATGACTTTTTTCTAGGATCATAATATATTTCATATCTGCTGGTGGTACCTGAGCTAACTAATGCTTTTATTCTTTAGACTGTTTCCTAAGATACGTAATACTTGTTGAGAGAAATTATGGAGAAAATATCTTTAGAGAATAAAAAGATAAAATAAAAAGTACAGTAAAAGCTTATTGAGAGAGAAAACTATTTCCAAAGCAGATAATAATCAGATGTCACACAGCCAATTTTTTCTTGATTTTCAAAAGAACAGATGACTATTGGCAGAACGACTACCCACGGGGGCAGACAGAGATCAGCATTTACTCTGGACTCACAACCACAGTTCTAGAACAACAATTTGGCTTTGGGAAGGACGATTCAATTCCGAATCCACTTTTCCTTTCAAAACTCTATTATACTTTAAGGTTAAAACGTGATCATAAGAAATCATTCGCTCAATTTCCCTCACTTCATGCTGATACCCTGCATGGTTTGGGGTTTATCCTATTTTTAAAAGCATCTATGAAAACATTCCTCACCCTATCGTATCCTTCAACCACTCCCCACTCTGGGCCAATCCATTCCTCCCAGTTTATGGGAAACATTCTAGCAAGCAGTTCTTTCACAAATCATGACTAATTTCCTACGGTTGGGATTTAGATTTCAGTCTCTTCATTATCTTTGGAGGAAATGAGAAATAATCAACTAATCAACATAATTTTAACTCCTTTCAGACATAAAATTGGTGTGAATGTGACAATTCTCAATATCCTCTAACATTAACATAATAAAAAGTCTTACCTTTTCATCTCGGAAATTTAGAAATTGCTGGAAAACCTCACTTTCTGAGATGACTGGATGACGACACATTCTGGTCATCCACGCCTGCAGTCTCTCCATGCGCATTTTGATAAATTCTTCTTCAAAGCGACCTGCAAGAGACAGGCCCAGAGTGACGTAGAACTTAATCTAAAATGAATTACTGTTACTACAACTGAAAAGCCGTTTAGATAGCTGCTGCTGGGTACCTGTAGGAAGTTATTTAGTAAAAGGTAAACCATGGTAATTTTTCACTAACCTAAAAACAACCAACACAGGGAATGCTCAAAGACCCACAGGAAAGATACAATAGACTCTTTAGTTTATCAGAATGAAATTCTAATTTAACAAATTAACAAACCTTTTAATTGTGACAGGAATAATCACAGCCTCAAAGTGCTATTTTCTTCAAGTATCTCTAAGGTACTCAACAAACTTAAAAGCAAGTTTATCTCAATATGAAACACTCTCTTCCTCATAAACTAACATTATGCCAGTTCCTGTGTGGCCATATGAAGCACTATGGGCAAGAAAGGGGTGACAGAGTGGAATTTAGTAAGTAATTCTCACAAAGTACATGAAATTTCTATACGTATAAAAATGTGTCCAAACGCAATATCATCTCAGATATACAAATTTAAAATCAGTATCTAGGAAAAGTAACTTAGGGCTATAGTTTTTTCCTCTCTTTTGTTTTTTAAATTACTTGAACTGAAAATAGAAAAAGCAATTTTTCCATGAATGCAATAATGAAAGCAGCTATCCCAGAACTTATGACTACTCTAAAACAGAGCTTAATGGGTGATATTCTGTTTTAAAAGTAGAAAATCAGCTTAGCATACCAAACATCAAAAGAGTACTGAGAATTTTTATAAGCCTACCAAACAAAGTCACTATCAGTTAAAAAAGCCTTCTGGAGATGGAAGTCGAGTAAGGCAATCACCTAATTCTATTCCTGAAAAGCAACTATAAAGCTGAGCAAACCCACCAAACCAGTGCTCTGGAAATCAACCAAAGGCAAACAGCCATCTGAGAAGTGTTTATGTTTGCAAAACTGCTGAACTTCAGGCAAGAACAGGGGAAAACCGTGGTGTTCTGGCCTGGGGCTGCTCCCGTTTCTCCCTGTGCCCCTGCATCTCCCCACCCTCTGCTTGTAGACATGGAGGTTTTGCCAGGGCGAAGCAGGCTGTGAACATCGGCAGCTGCAGCTTCCCTGGTGAGGTAGGAGGCTCTCTTGATCTGGAGCGGTAGGAGATGCCCATGCTCAGTGGTGGTGGCTGTGACAATCCAGAGGCTGGGGAACAGGGAGGGCTAACAGCTCCACTAGCCAAGCTTGCATGGTTGAGCCAAGCATAATCCAGGCTGAGGCTGAGAGCAGAAACAGTGGAGACTACATGGGTCCCAGCCAGCTACACACTGCTGGCCAAGTCGGAGGCTGCACGCACACATAAAGGAGACACAAAAGGGCGCACGAGAAAGTAAAACCCGGGGCTAACTTGAAAATGACCTGAGCTTTGAATGCACTCCCCTCTCCGCATACAGATCCACCAGCAGAGGACAGAAGACTTCCTGGCTTGAGGCAGGCTTACCACCAACCTACAGAGACACAGGGGTGAACCCTGGGAAGCCAAACTTAAAAAGAAAAACAAAAAATAATTGCGCTGCAGGGGAGGTAGATTTCAGAGATTTAGCCCAGGCAAGTTACTTACCAAACAAAAACATAAAGCAGAAACAACAACGACCTTCACAGAGGAAAAATCATAATCCAGAGTTGCTAAAGTATATTCTCTAAAATATCCAGTTTTCAATAAAAAATTAAGAGATATTAAAAAAAAACATCAAGATATGGCCCATACTGAGAGAAAAAAAGCAGTCAATAGACACTGTCTCTAAGTGTCCCCAGATGTTGAATTTAGCAGACAAAAACAAAACAGCAGACCAAGCAGCTTCTATAGATATGTTCAAAGAACTAAAGGAAGCCATGTTTAAAAACTTAAAGAAAAATATGATAAGGAATCAACAAACAGAGATTCTTAGGAAGGAGACATTATAAAAAAAGAATCAGATGGAAATTTTGGATTTGAAAATACAATAAGTGAAAATAAAAATTCACTGTAGGGGCTCAACTGCAGATTCAAGATGACAGAAGAAAGAATGAGTTAATCTGAAGATAAACCAACAGACATTATCTAATCTAAAGAACAGAGAGAAAAAAAACTTAAGTAAAATGAACAGAACTTCAGAATACATCAAGCACACCAACATACTTGCAATGGGAAACCCCAAAGGAGAAAAGAGAAAGAAAGAGAAAAAATATTTAAAGAAATAATGAGGAAAAATTTCCCAAATTTGATGGAAGACTTAATCTATACTTCCAAGAAACTCAATAAATCCCAAGGAGGATAAATATAAAGATATCCACACCAAGATACAGCAGAATCAAACTGCTGAAAGACAAAAATAAAAAGAAAATCTTGAAAGCACCAAGTGAAAAACAACTCATAATTTATGGAGGGGTGTGAATGTATGTATTTGTGTGATCAACAGAATAGACTGACTTGTTATCTGACACAATGGAGGTCAGAAGGCAATGGAAAGAAATTCATCATGCTGAAAGAAAAACTATCAGCCATGAATTCTATAACCAGTAAACCTATCCTTCAAAGACAGGGGCACAATAAAGACATTCCCAGATAAACAAAGAATGGGAGAATTCACTGATAGCAAACGTGCATTACAAGAAATATTAAAGACAGTCCTTTGGGCTAAAAGGATATTACCTCAGGCTAAAAGGAAATTACCCGAATCCACAGGGAGAAATGAAGAGCATCAGGAATATGTGGGTTAATATAAAAGACACTAGAGATATATTTTTTCTCATTTCTTCTCTAAACTTCTTTAAAAGACATAAGAGTGTAGAAAGCAATAATTATCACACTATATTGCTGGATTTGTAACATATATAGATGTAATATATATGATAATAATAGCATAAAAAGAGAGAAGGCAATGGAGTTACATTGAAGAAAAGTTTCTATAATTTTACTGGAATTAAGTTAAGATTAATCTAAAGTGCACTGTGATGTTATAAAAAGATGCATATTATACCTACTAAGGCAACTACTAAGAAAATAACTTTTAAAATTTAACTTTAAAAACAAGAGTTAAAATGGCACATTAGAAAATATTTAACACAAAAGAAAGGCAGTAAAGGAGGAACAGAGGAACAAATAAGACACACAGAAAACAAACAGCAAAATGGCAAATGTAAATCTAACTGGGGCAATAATTATATTAAATAAGAATGGTCTAAAAACTTTAATCAAAATGCAGAGATTGTCAGACTTGATAAAAAAGCAAGATCCAACTATACTGCCAACAAGAGAGATACCTTAGGTTCAAAGACACTAACAGATTAAAAGTAAAAGGATGGGAAAAGACATACCATGCAAATAGTAACTATAAGAGACCTGGAGTGACTATATTAATATCAGACAAAACAGACTTTAACACAGGAAATCTTACTAGAGACAAGGGGGAACATTTCACAATGACAACAGGGTCACTACATCAAGAAGATACAACAATTACAAACTGAATCTATACTTAAGAAGAGACCCTCAAAATACACGAATCAAAAAGTGACAGAACTGAAAGGAGAAATAGTCCAACAAAAATAGTGAAAGATTTCAATGCCTTATTCTCAATAACTGATAGATCTAGAAAGAAAACTGGCAAGGATATAGAAACCTGAACAACACTATCAACCAATTCAGCTTAACTGACAAGATATATAGAGTGCTCCACCCAACTGCTGCAGAATTCATATTTTTTTGAAGCATACATGGACCACTCTCCAAGACAAGCCATATGATAGGCCATAAAAAAGTCTCAATAAATTTAAAAGGATTATAATTATACAGAATATGCTTGTTCTCTGAGCACACCAGAATAAAATTGGAGATCAAACAACAAAAAAATGTGAGAAATGCCCAAATATTTGGAAATTAAACATATTTCCATGGGTGAAAGAACTTACAAGGGAAATCAGAAAATATTTTTAACTGAATGAACACGAAAATGCAACATATTAAAATTTATGAGACAGAGCTAAATCAGTACTTAAGAGGAAATTTCGTAGCATTTAATGCTTGTAACAGAAAAAGAGAAAGGTTTCAAAACAATAATCTAAGTTTCCATGTTAAGAAACTAGAAAAAGAGCAAATTAAATCCAAAGCAAACAGATGGAGAGAAATAATAAAAGAGCAGAAAATAATGAAATAGAAAAGAGAAAAACAAGAGAGAAAATCAAGAAAATAGAGAGGAGACACTAATTATCAAAATCAGGAATGAAGGAGCCAGAATACCACTACAGACCTTAAAAGTATAAAGGAATACTATGAACAATTCTGAACCCACACCCAACAACTTATATGAAATAGATCAACTCCTAGAAAGACCCAAACTCCCAAAGCTCACGGCAGAGGAGAGAGCCTGAGTAGTCGTATATCTATTTAGGAAATTCACACTTAAAGCTTTCCCACAAAGAACACTCGAGGTCCAGATGATTTCAGTGGTGAATTCTATCAAACATTTATGCAAGAAATAATATCAATTCTACATAATCTCTTACAGAATACAGAAAAGGAGGCAATACTTCCAAACTTATTTTATGAAGCCAACATTGCCCTGATGCCAAAAGCAAAGACATTACAAGAAAACTATAGACCAATAACTCTTGTGAACATAGACATAAAAATCATCAACCAAATATCAGCAAACTGAACCCAGTAATACAAAAAAAAGAATAATACATCATGACCAAGGGAGGTTTATCTCAGGAATGCAAGGCTGGTTCAGCATATGAAGAAAAACCATGTGATTACTTCAACAGATGCACAAAATACATCTGACAAAATTCAGCATCCATTCAAGTAGAAAACTTTCAGCAAACCAGGAATAGAAGGGAAGTCCCTTAACTTGATAAAAGGGCATCTACAAAAAACCATACAGCTAACATCCTATCTAACATCCTATTTAATGGTGAAAGACAATGTTCCCTTCCTAAGATTGGGAGCAAGGCAAAGATGTCTGCTCTCACCATTTCTATTCAACATCATACTGGAAGTCTTAGCCAGTTCAATAAGGAAAAAACAGAAACAGAAGGCACATAGACTGGAAAGAATGAAATAAAACCATCTCTATTCCAAGATGACATAATTGTCTACCTAAAAAAATCCCAAAGAATTCACAAGAAGTGAGTTTAGCAAAGTTGCAGATACAAAGTCAATACACAAAAATCAACTGTATCTCTAGATGCAACAAACAATGGAAAACAGAAGTTAAACAACAAATAGTACCATTTACAACAGAACTCCTCCGATGAAATTCTTACACGTAAATCTAACAAAATATGTACAGAATCTGTATGCTGAAAACTACAAAATACTAATTAAAATCAAATATGACATATTCATGCTCTTGGATTTCAATTCTCCCAAATTGATCTATAGAATCAATGCAATTCCAATCAAAATCCCAGCATGATTATTTATAGATATCTACAAATTGACTCAAATTTACATGGAAAGGTAAAAGAAAAAGAATAGCCAAAAACGATTTTGAAAAAGAACCAAGTTCACACTACCTGATTTAAAGACTTACTATAAAGCTACACCAATCAAGACAGCATGGTACTAGTAAAAGGGTGGACACACAAATCAAGAGAACAGAATCTGAGTCCAGAAATAAACCCACACAAACATGTCAATTGATTTTTGACAAACATGCAAAGGAAATTCAACAGAGAAAGGATATTCTCTTTCCAACAGATAGTGCTAGAACCATTGGATACCCAGATGCATAACATAACCTCTACCTTACCATACCTCACATCTTATACAAACATTACTCAAAATGCATCACAGACCTAAAAGTAAAACCTAAAACTACAAAATTTGTAGAAGAAAATATCAAGGTGAACTTGGGTTAACTTGGGTTAAGTTAAGAGGTCTTAGTCACCATACCTACAGCACAATCCAGAAAAGAAAGAATTGATACAATGGACTTCATTAAAATTAAAAGCTTTTGTTATGCAAAAGACACTGTTAACAGAAAGACAAGCCACACCTGGGACAAATTATTTGCAAATCACATTATTTGACAGAGGACTAGTTTCCAGAAAATATAAAGAATTCTCAAAATTCAACAATAAGAAAACAATCTAATAAAAAATAGGCAAAAGATGTAAACAGACACTTCACCAAAGAAAATATATGGATGTGAAATAAATACATGAAAAGTGCTCAACACCATTAGTCATTAGGGAAATGCAAATTAAAACCATGATGAGATACCACCACATACCTATTAGACGTGTTAAAATAAAGAAAAACTGACATTACCAAAAGTGCAAGTAGGATGCAAGTAGGATGTAGAGCCCCTGATACGCTCACCCATTGCTGGTGCGGATCTCAAAATGGTACGGACACTTTGGGTAACAGTTTGGCAATTTTTTAAACATTAAACATATACCTACCATATGACCCAGTCATTCCACTTCTGGGTATTTACCAAAGAGAAATGAAAACTTATGCTCATACAAAAACTTGTATGTAAACGTCTATAGCAGATTTATAATTGCCAAAACCTGGAAACCCAAATGTCCTTCAGTGAGTGAATAAACAAATTGTGATATAGCCATACATTGAAATACTTCTCAGCAATAAAAAGAAACTACTGATATACACAACAAGATGGATGACCTCCAAACACATTATGCTAAGTAAAAGAAGCCAGACTCAAAAGACTACACACCATATGCTTCCATTTATAATGATACTCTAGAAAAGGCAAAATTATAGAGACAAAGAACAGACTAGCGTTGCCATGAGTTAGGACGAGGGGGAGGGGCTAGAGAATTTTGGGAGGTGATGGAACTTTCTGTATCCTGAATATTGTGGTGGTTACAAGACTGCAATGGTAGCTGTCAAAACTCTTAGAAGGAGTGAATTTACTGTATGTAAGTTTAAAAATAAATTTTAAAAAACGCAGCCTGGACTTTCCTTTAGAAATTATGAGTACAAATAAGCACAAGTCTTTTAACAAGAAGAGTCTTATCGACCCACATATCAAAACCTCATAACCTAAAAATGTGGCACTTGAACAGCAAGATGGTCTGGACACCTGCTGTATATTAAAGCACTTCAAATTTTGCGTTTACTAGGAGTAAAGTACTACATAAACTTAAGCTATGCAGAAAAAAAGTCACACCCCTTGGAAAGAAGATGACCCACCTCCTGGACAGAAAAGACCCAGTGAGTCAGCGTGGACCTGGGTTATACTGAATTCCCCATTACAAGCAAGTGAATGAGACCAAGAGTTCACAACCTACTCATTGGTCGAAATTAATTAATTAGTGATTCTTATCCCTCCTGAAAATTTTTCTGACATCACTGGTTTATTTCCAAACTATGACTTCAGATGTTATTTTGTGCTTGGTGAGATTTTCATACCAGGTTCCAGAGAATGAGAAAAAAGGGAGAAGGAGGGATTTCCACTTCCTCATTTTCAACGAGCCTGATTTAGGTTTTCACTTTTTTGAAAGTATGTGAATGTACCAGTTTGGCGCCGGAATAAAACCAGATTCATTCAGCGTTATTTCACAAAGAGCAAAATCTATGAACAAATGAAAAACATTAGCTCTAAGTGTTCATGGAGTGATTATCAAGTCCACAGAAACGTCATGACGTCATCCACTTGGCATTCCGTTTTCTTTTCTCCGGGATTTCAGTGAGAGGGGAGTTTGTATAAGCACGTCTTGTGGGGACCACGGGCAGGAGGCAAACGAGGAGGGGAAATAAAGCGGCTTCTGTGCTTTCTCGTTTCCTCGGCACACATCCCAGCCAGTGAATCAAAGCCCAACTCTCTTCCGACTGAGGGCTGCTGCTCTCTCGCTTTTCTATCACATCCCCCAGCTTCAGGTCTGAACTTTTTTTTTTAAAGAACAAACCTCAGTACGGGAGGAGACCGTGACTCTATGATGCTTTAAAACGGTGCTGAGTTATCTGACTCAGACAATGCGTTAAAACCTAAAAGATATGAGAAATCCCCACAACCCTAAAACAGCTCATTAATCCATTTATTTGAACACTAGGGAGTGCATATTGGGCTAATCAAGTTGATACAGAAGAGTATAAAATTCAGGAAACAGATTGAAATGTGAAAATATGGAGAAGGGCAGAACTGAAGTTTTCATGGAAAGAAAGCTAAAATTTTTAAAAAGAAAGCTGTGATTTAAAGCAACTTCATGACAGAGGGGAAGGATAGTGAGTATCTGGGCCGGGCATGGGGCTGGGGGTACGGTGACACCTCTGAGGGGAAGGAAGCGGCAGTCGACACCGCCCTGGTGTGGCTTCCACTTACCTGCCCAGCTCCTCGACTGCTCGGGAGGCCCCCATACGAGGCCAGGATGGGTTCATCTACCTGGCCATGCAGCCCCACTCCCCATTCAGCTATGACCATTTGAAATTTTTGAAAAGTTTTCAAAAAAATCAAAATCAAAACAACTTCTCTAAAAACAAAAGCTTCCATCTCAAAAAATTTTAAGGAAACATAAACATAAAACAAAGTAAAGTACAAAGTGAAGTTTTAAGGAGAGTAACTTCCCTCTCCTAAGGTTACTAATTGTAGCTGAAGATGAGTTGGTCCACATCTCATACTGTAAACGGAGCAAGCTTCAGAATCACATTCACATTCCCCTCTCAGCTGCACTGAGCAAAGCCTGGTTAACGTCTCTGAATAGAGAAGGCACACGTGAACTGTCCAGGCCCATGTGACACCTCGCACGCAGGGACAAACTCAACACTGAAAATGTCTTGCATTAGCTCTGCCATCTGGCTGCTTAAAATTCTCAGTCCCTCCCTCAACTAGTGATCTCACCTCGTGCTGAGTGAGGATTCGACCCTCTCCGGCCTCCCTTGACCTCTGAGGAAAGAACCCTTCCTTCCCGGATCCCACGTTTCTTCTCACGGGGGTCAGCCTGTTGATGCCTCTTGCACTTCTCTTAGAGGCCTTTCTAAGAAAGCTCTGAACTTTTAAGACCCACTCTCATCTTTGATCTCTTCCTGTCTATACTCACAAGCTCCATTTATCTGAAATTTTCTAGCTACAAATACTAAAACCCTTTCTAATCTTTAGTAAAGTTCAGCTTCTTTACACACTTATTCCAAGACAAACAGACTGAGTCTTGAGCACTAATATTCCAGGTTCTACACTAGGCCGGAGACAAAAGAAATCAATGACAGTTCTCAAAACTGACACAGAATCGGATTCTACCTGCACATTTACAAGGCACTCTGGTCTCACTGTGGATTAGTTACCAGAAGATGATTTGGGGCAGCCAGGTGGGGGACACATGACACTTCAAACAAGAAAAGGGAGAGGGTAATGATCAATGATAAATAACAACACTGGAATATCAATAGTCACCCAAATAAGTGAGTAGAAAACTTGGCAGCTGCCTATATTAACCCCCAGAAGCCCTGCGGCTTCTACATCTGATGTTTACACACTTCTAATGAAAATGACACAGCTGGACTGCATACCATGTTTACATCTTTTGGGTCATTTCTGTCTCCATTTTAGCTATTTGGATCATTTCTGTTCTCTCAGGTGTCATTTTTTACATTTAAAATATTCACACATTTCTTCTATAGGAAAGAATGTAGCAATAAAGACACAATGATTTCGCTAGAATTCAAGATATGTATACAAGAACTCTGATAGAAAATTTTATGCAACATTCTTAGGTGTTTAGGTAATGTCCAAATACATGTACGATCGATATTGCTGTATTTAGCCACTGTTTCCAAACTCATGCGTCTTGCTCCTCCAGAGGATGGAAAACGCCATTACTGATTACATTAGGATACTCTGGTGGACCTTCTTCCTTGTCATCCTGAGTTCATTGTCACACACACTCACCTGTGACTTGTTTATCTGGAAGAGAAGGGATTGGAATGGCTGACCCAAACTTGACCAGGAGACGCTCATATAGCCAGTCAAAGTGCTTATACCTGTGGTTTACAGATCGATTAGTGTTCTACAAAATAAGGGAAAGACAAGAACAAGTTACCAATGCCAACTATAGAAAATGAAGAAAAAATCAAATTGTAACTAATGATGCAAGCATGATTTTGTTTTTGATAACTCGGATACTTACAGTAGGTGTTAACTGATATTCAATGTAGCTCTTCAGACCATACATTTTGGAGCCCTTCCTGGGATCTGCTACCACACAGTCAAACGTAGAGGTAGGATAAACCCACATTGGGCCATAATCTCCAACCTACAGAACGTTCCAGGAAGAGTTAATTTTGTTACATGGAAAAATAGTAATACAATTGATGTAAGTCATCAAATGATTCTTTTTAGGACTAGAAGTCCTTTGGAGGGTCATTCTTGCTCCTCTTTGAGAAGTTACATAAATGCTCTCCGTTCCTGTTGAGGTTTTACTTAAAGAACACACTTGCTGGGATGAACCCTTCTGCTCCCCATGTGGGCATCTCAGGCCATGGAGAAGAGATGCCTATTTCCCTCCCCTGTGGGGAGTGCTAAATGAAACACAATTTCTCTCTCTCTAGTCCAGTTGTCTTAGTTCTATGTGATGAAGGGCTAGTTTTAAAATATTGCCAATCTATCCTGGACTGATAGTTTGTGAAATAAAAAATTACATGCTTGGATGTCTCAAAGTCAAATTGCCATCACACTTTCTCAACAATTACTCTCATTTTCTGTGTCCCCAGTCCTAATTCTTTTTAAAGGTGACAGGAGGAAAAAGCGGGTGGGTTCAGAGGTTATTAGTTCAGGATGGTGCCGGGGGCCCAGAGAATTTAATAAGGGACGAAAGAGATCTCTGACAACAAGCCACTATGACTCCCCAAGAGGGAGCCCAGATCCAGAAAACTCTCTGAAAGCTGCAGAGCGGGAATGTTTAAGAGGAGCCTCTGGGGAACTTCCCGCAGTGACTGGGACCACAAGAGGCACCTCTGATCAACGAGGACCCAGTATCCACGGGGTCACATTCTATTAGTGGGTAGGGTTACTGTCTCTGCTTTCTCTTGGTTTTCTGAAGACTAGATTGCTTTCTCAGCTTCCTTTTCCACGGAAGAAGCCCACGCAGGCAGGCCTGCCTATAGGGTACACGGGCCCAGTTCTACGTAAAGCTTGTGGGACAACTCAAACACTGGGGGGTCCTTTAGCTCTGTTCCAACGCTATCAAGCTTGTGACAAAGTCCCCTTTGAGAATCCGAAGGGCCGGGCTATGGGCTCTTAATTCTGTGGAGTTTTAAATTTAATGAAAAGAACAACGATACATGTCTAGTATTTACGAAGAAGTCTGAAGAAAAAGAAAAAAATTAAAACAATCTTCAATCTAACCACTCAGAAGATAATCACCCCAAATTTGCTTTGAAGGAAGAAGGATAAGAGGGGCTCTTGGTCATAGCCCTTCTCTCTGGAAGTTTCTAGGATTCCAAGCTTTTCAAAGATATAGGCATAAGTAATAAAAAAAAAATCCAGTATTATTCTTGCAATTTTATCAAGTTTCCCAGGACCCAGAGATTATCGAATAAGACCAGATGTTTCCTCCTCCTTGTTTGAATCCATGGCGATTACACTCAAGGCTTCCCTCCCATCTTAGAGCTAGAGGGCTAATTCAGTAGGGTCAGAAGATAGCCACAGTTCTCTTTTCCAGAATTTCATCTGGGAATATAGAGCTAGATAATGCTTAGACAGAAAAATCTATCAGCAATCAACATCTTGGTGAAACCAAAGAGCCTGTGTCATGTTATGTGACGATCAAGTTATTCTAAGACAGATAATGTTAATGGTGTCATTAACCCTCAGCTTTTATTTGCTATCTTCTTATCATGAGCTGACAGCTGGTTTTCTGGAAGAAAGACTATTACCAACCAGTGGAAAAGGCACCTTATTCTGACAACACGCATGTACTTTGCCAATGTAGAAACCTAAATATTTGAATTGGGTTTATCAGCTAAATATATAGGGCTGGTAGAAAAATGGCATGTAAAAAATATTTCAAGACACTTTAGAGAAGGAAAATCATTAAAAGAATATATACTATGGGTGCTGTGGGTTCAACACTCATAGTCTGAAAGGTAAAAATAAAGAATATCTACACAATATAATGACAGGCATTAATTTATGCTAATTACCTTTAGTACTCTTAACATGCTAACACATACTGTCAGTTATTTGGAGCATTAAATGTGTTCAAAAATGCTTTCCAAATGACTAATAGCCCTCTTGGCTTTAAGCTATTATAAAGGAGCTTAATTAGACACAAAGCAAACAGACAAAAATGAACAAACTTACAATGATAGGAATTTTCTCTTTGGGTTTTGCTAGTTGCTTGGCCAACAAATACTGTTCCATTCCAGGTTTTGCAAATCCAGGGAATCTAATCATGAAGATAAATGTTTGTGAGTCTTATGTCTTTCCTTATAAGAATTCTACAGCTCTCGTCTACATTTACTCAATACTACAGTTTTAACCTTGTTCTGTCTTTCAGATGTACTAGAACTAGGAAACTGTGGTAAATGAAACCTAACGTAATCAGATTGTTCAATGGCCAATTAGTCATTTAATTAAGCTTTATCTGGTAAGAGACCAGTGTGACTCCAGAAGGCATGATATTTATGGGTACTCTATTTGCTTAACTGGATCTGAAACACTCTTTCACCCCATGAAGAGTGAAGGGCAGACGAGACAAATGTCCCTCCGGTCACAGGAGGGGAAAGTACCCAGCATACCAATGTGAGCTGACCACATGGGGCAATGGCCACACACCGGCATTTTTATACCCAAGTTAAAGCTGCCCTTTAACATACTCCCTCCAGGAGGCCACAATTAAACCAAGGAAGCTGACACTGTTCATTAGTACTTGTGCCATTTTCTTTTGGAATTGCCTTCAGAACCAGTTTCTGAGACACAAAAGAAAACCAGTCTCCTTAGTAAAAAGACCCAAATTATAATAAACCTGGCTACTTCCAGTAATTAAATCTGTATCTAAAGCAAAGTTCTAAATTTGGAGAAAAGCTAGAATAAATGCATAGCCATCCAAAGTGCCACTTTTAAAGAAGAAAAAATTAATTTTGGTTTTAGAATTTTTTTTTAATAATCAGGAAAAAAAACTTCAGAAAGTAAAATACCTAATATAGCAAAAGAAATCTTATTTCTACAAAAAACCAGCTACATCACTTCCAATTTCATTCATATCCCAAGTTCAAGGCCAACGTGATGCTCTCAGGGGCCAGGATCTTTTCCGTCATTCTCGACTGACTTTCCTCCATTCCCTTTTTCCCAGACATTCTTAAAACACAGCTCATACAGGAGAGAACAAAGAGGAGTCTAGGAGCTGGACAGCCTTGCGTTTGAATTCCAACTCCAACACTTATTGACTATGTGACCTGTAGAGCTTCAGTCTCCTTGTGTAATGAATGGGACCAATATGATCTACCTTTTAAAGTGATAAGTGAATTAAATGAAAAGATTATGTGAAGAGCCTAGTATGTACTCATAAATTAAAATTATTTCTAATTATGCCATTATCTCTTTGAAAGTCTTCCCTATGGCTCAGGTAAAGCTTTCTCAGTGCTTTTTCAACATTCAGAGTATACTTTTGCTGTACAATTTATCACACTTAATCACCATTATCCATTTACACATTACAGCAGACTAGAAGTACCTTAGAGAAAGTATTTATATTTCCAGGACCTAGAGGAGTTATGGGAATATATTAAATGCTTAATGAATTAATGGGCTAACCTGGGATACTTTTATTAAAGAACCTACACTTTCAGTAGAAAGTGCTGATGGAAAAATTTGGGAATTACACACAGTGACAACTCCTTGACTAGACGGTAAGCTTCTGAGTGCAGAAATGATATTTCACAAGTCTTTTGGCAATCTTAGGGACCACAGCAAAACTCTAGGGCCAGCTATGCACTCATTTAATACCCACTGACTGGCAATGCAATTTACTAATTGAGTATTACCAAGATGGATTCTTAACAATGCTCAGGTACACTTAAATTTCTAATCTCCTTTTCTAGTATAAGGTTTATGTTCCATGACTGGAATACAGTGGTCATATAAAATGGATTAACTGCTGAAAAGTATTAATACTTAAAAAAAAATTTTTACAACCGTTATTAATGCGTCATTTATACATTAGTCCAGTTAAATAAAAATACATAGGATTTTAAAAGGCTCCCAGCAGCACAGAGAGAGGAACTCCTCAGAGGTACAAATTAAGACTCCTCTGATATGGTTTCATCCTGGACTGAAACCTCAGAGCAGAAAGAATTCTTAATTAAAGCCAACCTCTTCATTTTAGAGATGAGGAAATTGAGGTTCAAAGAGGTCATCTAACTTCTCCAAGGTCATACAGCAACTGAGAGGCAAGGGCAGAGAGGGGGAGCACGGGAAGGCAGAATCAGAGGCCTGGGCACCAGCCAGAACCTCACTTCCTAGCTATGAAAACTCAGCCGGTCATTTGTCTCAGCGGCTCTGCTTCCTCATTTTCAAAACGGATCTGAGAGAGATGTTATAGTAAAATGGGTTTTAAATATACTTTGCATTTAGGTTTAAAGAAGAACTGAGAGTAATGTATAGACACACTGAGAACTTCAAATCACTATAGACATACTGAGAACTTCAAATCACTACAGACATACTGAGAACTTCAAATTTGACTCTAAGAAACAGGATAGAGTCAATAATGAATAATTAATTTCATTATGCATGCAATTGAGCATGAAAATACATAATGGAAGAAACTGGATGGACAGAGGTAGGAAAAGTGGGTAGCTAAAAGATAACTCATTTACTCACCTGATGCTATTTAAACATACTAAGGAGAACTTGCAGGACTCATTAAACTTATATATATGTAGATATAGACCTAGACCTTGATATCTAGATATCTATCAAACATTATGTTTATTATTTTTTTTCAGACCCTAGGTTAACATTCCTTGTTATCTGCTTTGAATCATAGACTTGGAACACTGAGAAAAAGTATTAAACATAACTGCTGTCAGAAGAGTATTTGAAGATTCTTATGGAAGTCATAAATTGTATCTCCCTCAAGCTACACTGGTGTAAACTACAGACTGATCCAGAACTCTCTATAAGGAATCCTACAGAGCTCTGTCCACATCCAGCCTTTCTTTCACGCTTTCCTTGTAAGCAGCGTATCTACAAGTACTGTTGAAACTTTTTTTTTTTTTTTTTTAAATCTAAGAGAAATCTAAGTGAAACAGTCTTAAACACATTAGCACAGTAGTTGAGAGCATGCGCTCAGAAGACTGAGGGGCTGGACTGGAATCCCGACCAGATCACTTACCACCTGTGTGAGCTTGGGGAGTTACTTAACCTCCTGGGCTCAGCTTTTCCCATAGTAAAACAGAGATTATATGTACCACAAAGGGATGTGAGGGTCACATGAGAAGGCATAGAACTGCCTTGCACAATGCATGGCATATGGTAAATGATCAACACGGACGTCGATAACAAAATGGACTAACACATCAAGGCTTCTCAAGTGGAGCCTGGAGGCCATTAAGGAAGTGGGGCTTATGCACGCACACCACATCCACCACCAGACGTTAACGGAACATTTGAACTTTACCTGACACCAGAGGTTACGTCTGTAGCACTTCCTCATTCCAAGAATGGCCAGTGTGCCTAGATACAACCCAAGGACCCACTGTGGGCTGGTGAGTCCACTCGCCCCACGCCAGAACCCACCACGAGCCGTGCGATGTTAACTCTGTGGGCCTGTGTCCTTTGTCTTTATAAACCTCTGCCTCCTTTGTCTTCCTCGAGGCACATGTGAGTTTCTACTCACGTCTGTGTCTGCTGAATTGCAATTCTCGAGACCCCAAATAAACTTTTGCCTCTTTTGCAGTTTATGCCTCTTATTCGTTGACATTAATAAATAGTAAAACACGTTAGAAAGTTATTATTATTATTATTATTTTTAGCTTTCCTGCGACATCAGCAATAAAACCTTACTATATCATGGATTTGATAAGGTAAAAACAGTACTTGGAAGATCATTAAATAGAACAGATATTTCACGTTAAGATGACAAAAAATTTTTTTAATAAGCTTGCAAGCTAAGATGCAAAAAAAAATGACCAAATCACACCCAAAACTTTGAAAAGAGAAAAAGCCTCTTCGGATCTTGTATCTGCCCCCACAGTGACTGCACGTTTCCCGACTCCTTGACACCCACTTGTTAAGCGGCAGCTTCATGGAAGAGGAGCCCGCACGGCTGCTGCCTCGCTGAGCACCCCCTGCTTCAGCCGACTCCGAGTCCTTGAAGTAGGGAGACGAGGACTTGGGGTCGTCCCAGTCTTCGTCCCAGTCATCATCGTCACCAGTTGCTAGAAGTGCCACAGAAGATGGCCAGTGAAAAAAAACAAAATGAAAATGGAATGACTTAATTTTCTGACAATAACTACCAACTGGGCTAATCAACTAGAAAAAGGGGAAATGGGTGTGGTATCGGAATATAATGTAGACGTGAAGGGTACAGGCTCTGTAGATGGATGGTTTTAAGGCTTGAACTGTAGATTCTGCCTTTTAGTGCAAAAGACAAGTTAGAAACAACTTAACGAGGGCTGTCAGCCCAAGTAACTTCAGATAAATGCAGCCTATAAAAATGCTACACAAGGGAGGCTCCTGGAGGCCTATACACTGATAAATCTAGCTTTATAAACTTGCAAATAAGCAGATCAAATACCCTTTACATGGAGAAGACTGGGGAGGACAAACGGGATGAGAGAGCTCTGAAAAGGAATTGTTTAACACTAACAATAATAAAGGTGGGACAAGGGCAGTGAGGGAAAGATGGAAAGGACAGGATGAGGGTGGTGGAGAGGGGAAAGAGAAAAAAGAGAAAGACAAGGAGTAATTAACCAGCACCCACAGCCTGATATTCTAACAATAATCTCTGTGCCAGATACGGTGCTGCCAGCTGCCCCCACCTCCTTCCTCTTCCCACTGTTCCGTACCCCCATCTCCCGCCTCTGGTGGCCTGAGGTGTGCTTTCACTATCAGGCAGGAAATAGTCCTGGGACCTCCGCCCTAAGAGTGCCACCATGAGAAGCGGAGAGACAAATGCCAAAACAAAAAAGAAAATAGAAAGTATTAGAAGGATCTGGGCCAAGTTTCCCAGGGCCTCCCCAAGTTACTATGGAGACAGACGTCAGCAGTCTGGTCTCAACGCTTCTACCCAGGCCATGCCTCCTGGTCCTGCGACAGTCCAGCTCCTGCCTAGAGCGGGAGCTTGGAACCAGGACCTGTGCCCTTATGGTTCCCGTGCGCAAGTCCCTTGTCATTTAGCACATTTAATTCTTGGCACAATGTGCTCACATAGGGAACGTAAAAAAAAAACAATGGGCAGATCTCTATCTTTTTATTTAATTTCAAAACAGACAGAAATACCCTTTCTAATTCCTGAATTGTTTCCCCTTCTATAAACTCCTCTTCTGCCTCAGTATTTCCATTAATAGCCTGGGAGTCAAACAGGTAGTTACAGAAAAGATAAAGCAGCTAAGTCAGAGGTCATCAACTTCAGGTGATGAACCATGTTTGATCTGTATACACATATTTTTGGCCCAGGATTTAAAAACAAATGTGTGTTAGTTGCTAAGATTTTAAAATGGGAAGATGACACAAAAATTGAGATTTCCAGGTTCTCTCTGGAACTGTGGAGGTCCAGGAACACTAGCTCAGTTTTCCCACAAAGTCTCAATCCACTGGCCAGAGCAGGGCTGCCCTCTTCCGTCTTCTGCAGCCCCAGTGGGCCGCTCTGTTCTTTTGCTTCATGAACCCGGCCCCTGCAAGCATTTGCATTTGTCACCCCTTGATAAATAACTGAGATTGGACTAAAGACTACAATTAACAACTACCTACATTTGGATCCAGAAAAATAAGTTTGCTACTAGTGAACAAGAGCACCTTTGATTAAAATCTATCTGTAGCTCAGAGGCCCTCCTCAATTTAGGGTGGGCTCCATCTCCAGCAGAGCCCTTTTCCTCACCTGGTCCCTGGTAGGCCTGCGGATGACCAAAGGCAGTGTCCCAGTTATTGGAAGTGTTTTTCTGGGCTGCAGCCCCCTCTGGCTTGGCTCCCCAGCCATCCGTGCTGTTCCAGTTTCCAGATTTGGAAGCATTCCAGGCTGACCAGGGGTCACTGCCAACCTGTTGTTAGGGGTGAAAAAAGAGAAAGAATATGTGTGACTTCTAGAAAGCATCACTCAATTCAGGAGGAAGTGCATAATAATTGAATACAATGGGGGTGCTGAAAAAATTGACAGAAATTTACAACACTTTTAAATGTAAATAATAAATTTTTTTAAACATGGAGGAAAGCACCGAAAGCAGCATCAACCTGATCCTACTGACGTTAACACTGCGACACACTCACTTAGGAACTTTCCAGCCAGTAACAAAACTATCAGACACGGCTGCCCCATTCACCTTTCTTCCCTCCCCCGAGTAACCACTTTTCTGAACCTGTATTCAGTCCTGTGTATGTTTTTATATTTCCACTGCATATGTATGCGTTCATAAATAATTGTTTTATATTTTTAACATGGACCCAAACAACATTATACTGTCTCTCTTTGCAAGCTGTCTTTTATTCATTTCACATTATGTTTTTGAGATTATACATGATGATAATGAGGATCTGTTTTATTCAACTTGAATTGCTTTACAGCAATCAGATGTATTTTTGACTTGGTTTTTATTTTTATTTGAAAAAGTAACACGTTTGCAGTTAAAAAGAAAAAAAATTCAAACAGAATAAAAGGATATGCAATTAAAAAAATATGCCTACCACCTTCAGATGCCAGTCACACTTTCAAAGACAACTGCTACTAACCAATTCCTTGTATCCACTTACTCAAACATCCCAGGCAGAGAGGTCCTTTTGGTTTTCAAACATACAAGAGAGCCCAAATTACACTCTCCGCTCTGTACTTCTGTTTTTTCCCCCTTACTAGCCTGAAGCATTCCCCCAGGTACATCAGCCCATGTGGATGCCACCGTTCTCTGACATGGCTCCACAGAATTCCCCTGTACTCACTTCTCATAACTGAGCCAGATATGCGGGCGCTCATCTGTCTCATTTTCAGTATTCTGCTGTCAACAATGCTGCAGCGCACATCCTTGTACATTACTGACATGCCAAGGGTTCTGTCTCCCATAAACGGGGGCTACCACACTCCAACACTATCTTAAAATATTTTTCTCCCATTATTCCAGTAATTTTATAGTTCAATTATTAATATTATAAATAAAATTTTGGGTCAGGTATTACATGGCGCCCAATTCCAGGAGTGCTGCAGTAATAGTACCTGTAGCCACCTCTCACCCCTGCCCCACCCACTGAGGGCACTCACAGTTTTTCATTTTCCTGATTTTTTAAATCTTCGATTTGTCTCGAATTTACGAGACAAATTCAGTATAAGAAATAATATAGGAATCCAGCTTAACTTTTTCCTGTGGCCAGTCTGTTGCCCTAACACCATTTAATGAATAATCCACCTTTCCTCCTCTGATCTGAAATGTCACTTTTATCACGTCCTGGACGTGGCCTATTTCTGGGCTCTCTGTTGTAGCCTAGTAATCTATTTATACGAGTACCGAGCTCCCCTGGAGCCCACTACACAGAAGATCATCGGTACTTTAGTGTAACATCTTCTATCTATTTATTTCTATACATGAACTTTAGCATCAGCTTAATATTTTAAAACCACCCACACTGTCTAATACACCTCTCTAACGTTTTAGAATGCTATGGTCTTTTTTTACTCTTCACTGACAGATGGGGTGGATAACTGCCCACCACACACCAGAAACATCAAAAAAAGAGTCTACATTCTACAAGTGGAAGTAGGATTTCATTCTAACATCTCTTATACCGTCAAGAAAAAAAAATGAAGTTATAGTGATTTTGCTCTATGTCAAATATTAACAGCAGAAAGACATTTCACCCACATGACTGAATTTCTCCAACAGACAGCTGACCAGGTGAGACTCTCCAGCCTCTAGTGGATACTGGAAATGAAGTCGGTCATGCCGAGGGCCTGACAATCACACTCCATTTAAGAGAATCCCTTCTTCCAGTCTTCTTTAAGGGAGGGAGTTTTATTCAGCAATATATACTCTGCGCCCTCCAAACTATGAGGTTTTATTTTTAGAATAAAACTCTGAAAAGTACAAAAATTCTGGACAGTAAGATGATGATAAGTACAGACACCAACTTGTCTAGTGTGATTTCCAGGACTGCTGACTGAGCAGGACCTGCTGTGAAGGGCTGGGCCCTGCCACCCGCCTGGCCCCGAGGAAGGCGTCAAGGATGGCAGGCTGAGGGCGCAGGATGAGCACAGGTGCCTGGTCAGGCTGTCCGCTTGGAATTCTGGCTCCAGCTCTTTCTGGCTGGGTCACCTCAGGTGGGAATTCCAACCCAGGCAGCCTGACTCAATTCAGACAGACTGACAGAAGCTCAATGAAGTCAACTGAAAAGGAACTAGAACGATAGGAAGAGAAAAAGTTCAGCATCGCCATGACAACAAGACTTTAAGTGTTAGCAGACTGGCAAAGAAAGATTTTCATCAATATTGAGGAAAAAATCCAATGTGAACTATTCATAGCGAGTATCCTAAAAAATTAAAACCTATTAGGAAAGAAACACAGAACACAAAAGTTCTCTTTAAAACTTCTTTGTTTATAAATTGCTTGTAGTAATTGCTATTTATTTGGTTATGTTATGATCTTAGCTCTCTACTTAGGTTATGAAATCCTTGTAGGCAAATCTAATAATTCTTTGCTTCTTTCTCTCTCTCTTTTTTTTCTGGAACATTCCCTCTACCGTGTTACAGCCTGATTCCTACTGAGAAATCTTTCAAAACCTGACCAACTGGAAATCCTCTCTCCAGCTTCTATCACTGACTTTTTTCTTTTTTCTTTTTTTGTGAGGAAGATCAGCCCTGAGCTAACAACATCCATATCATCCTCCTCTTTTTGCTGAGGAAGACTGGCCCTGAGCTAACATCTATTGCCAATCCTCCTCCTTTTTTTCCCTTTTTCTCCCCAAAGCCCCAGTAGATAGTTGTATGTCATAGCTGCACATCCTTCTAGTTGCTGTATGTGGGACGCCGCCTCATCATGGCCGGAGAAGTGAAGTGTCAGTGTGCGCCCGGGATCCGAACCCCGGGCCGCCAGTAGTGGAGCGCACGCACTTAACCGCTAAGCCATGGGGCCGGCCTCTATCACTGACTTTTTACTCTCTCTCTCAGATGACCTTTGACTGACCTCCAACATCAGTAACTAATAACCAGCTCACACAGTCTGTCGTGTTCTACCTCTCTCTGAACCCAGCCTTCCCATACTCTAGCCTCTGACTTCTTTGCTTTCAACCCCCAATAACCCTTTTGTCCCTCAACTGCAGACATGTGGTCACACAATAATCCATTCTGCTTCTCTGCTAAGGTTTCAAACTCTGAGGTGCCTCTTCGATACTTTTCTTCCAGTTTTCCCTCCTCTCTCTTTTCTACTGAGCAATGTCTTCATTCTCTTCTTTTCCCTCCCTTTATGGTACCAAACCCCTCCCAACTCTATCAACCACATGTAATTAAAAATCCTTCATTAGATCTCCCGCCCAGGGAATAAATTCCAAGCTCCTTAGTCCATCAGTCAAGATCCTAACTTTTCCTTCCATGACATCCCCATTCTCATTACTTGCCTCTAACCCTCACTCTATGCTTCAACCTTCAGTTTCCCAGGCTTTCCCACGTCCTTGCCTTTGCTCACACTATGCTCTCTACCAGCACGCAAAGCTTTCCTCCTCATCTTCCTAAATTCTGTCAAAGCCCCACCCCACTAAGGGCTCTGGCCTCAGGGCCTGCGTGCTGCCGTTCAGTCACGTCCTCCTACATTCTCCCAGGTTAGTCTTCTGTTAGAAGTATCTGCATATCCATTGGTCACTCCCACTAGCAAGTCATGAGCAGAAGGCCTGTCTTATTTAAAAAACATTTCCTCTAAAAGATCCTCAAAATGCCCTACATAAAGCGGCAAGGACTCAGTGCTTAAATATGACGTTATTGAGCATTTTATGAAATACGTATTATTCTTTGTCAGACATCTAAACTTCATAACATTATCATTAGTTCAGAAAGAAGGAAATCAGATTTTCCTCATGTATATTGACTTGAGTCTTTTTTGGGAAAATATACCCTGCTGCGGTCAATCACAGAATAAGCAATTTTCAGCACATGACAGTACCAGACTCTTAAAACAATAATGCCTTCTAAGTTATATAAAAGCGGTGTCAGCTCACTGTAGAAAAGCTGGAAGATACAGGCAGGCACGGATAGACAGAGAGCTGGACAGATGTGTGATAAGGCAAGAACAGTAAGATGTTGACGGTAGAATCTAGAAGGCAGGTGTAAGATTACTCACTACGAAATGCTTGAAGTTTTAACAAATAGTTAAAAAATCCAACAAATAAAATTGTATATACAACCATTCTGTGCTCTGAATTCCATTAGGATGCATGCAGGGGACACAGAGCAGGGCTGTGTCCATCAGGGTCACCAGTGATTTCCCATTGCCTGTGAACCCGGGGCCTGGCACATAGTAATTACTTAGTAAGTTAAGTATTTGCTAAACGAATATGCTCCCAAAGCATGTTTGTCTGTATCTCTATTAATCTGCCTTGCCCTAGAACTGGCTGATTATGTCCAACTCTCTCCCTAACCCCCACTCCCACTAAATTAAACACTCCTTAAGGCCAGGAGCAATATATTCAAACACATTTGCTGATTTAGCACTCTGGATATACAACCTATCCTATCCTCATAAGACAAATAGAGAAACACATTTACATTAGCTTTATATCATAAGACTTACTTAAATACATCCACTGGAAAGATTTATAGCATAAGGTAAGTTTCTTCAGAAAGCAGACTGGCTTGTACCCGACTGTAGAGCCAGAAAAACCACAGAATGGAGTCAAAATGGCCAGGAGGGGTGGACAGCGCTGAGCCTTCCTGAGACGATAACTGTGGGAAAGCTGTGCGTATTACGTATACGTAACACGGGGGTATAAATATACAAAAGGGGCAAGGGTAAGCAAAATGGTCTATGGGGTGAATTTTAAACCCCTTTATGAAACTGGGGGAATTTGCCTCAAGTAAACCTCACGTGGGTACAGTGGTTAAGAACGCAGGCTCTCAAGCCTGTCTATCCGGGCTTGAATCCCAGCTTTACCACTCACTAGCTGTGTGAACTTGGGCAATTTACTTCATCTCTCTTAGTTCCCACACTTACAAAATGGGTATAATAACAGCAGCTTCCTCATAGGCGTTCTGTAAGGATTAAATGACATAATGCATATAAAGCAGTTAACACCTGGCACACAGAACCATGGCATTCAGGAGAGGTTATCTTAATATATGGGGACTCATCTAGAATATAGAATGAAAAGAATGAAGACCGGCAGTTCTTTTGAGTAAATCCCCATCTGAGTAGTACACCTGTTAGTTTATGCTACACAGGAAAAGATCAGACAGTTAAATTCCTAAATGGTTTCAAGGCCAGGTCACATTCATAGAGAAACTTTTAATTGAAGAGGTGATAACAGGCACTTCAGATATTTTCTATTCTAGCCAAAGATCTGTTTCCTTCAGATACATAAAGAAAAGAGGAAGAAGACAGAAATGGTTCCCCATAAAGTTCAACAGTAACTCCTAATTCTCGGGGCTCGGGGCACAAACATTTTCTGTGTGCCAAATGCTGAGATCTTGCTTTCTTCAAAGCCTAATCCCCAGTGTAACACACTGGCTACAATCATCTGGTTTAATGATCCTTTGGCCGCTGACTTCTTTGCTCTCAATCCCAATAATCCCTTTTGTCCCTCAACTGCAGACGTGGTCACACAATAACCCATGCTGCTCCTCTGCTAGGGGTCAAACTCTGAGGCGCCTCTTCGAGACTTTTCTTCCAGCTCCCTCCTCTCTCCTTTCTACCGAGCAACGTCTTCATCCTCTTCTCCTCCCTCCCTTTATGGTACCAAACCCCTCCTGACTGTCAACCACACGTAACCAAAACCCTTCATTAGACCTCACTGCCCACGGAATAAATTCATCAATCAAGTCTCAGCTAAAAGGTCTCCAAGGTGTAAATCCCAATTATCCTTCCAATTCCTATGACTCCACGTATTGAATGCCTATGTTAGCACGTCCCATGAAGAGCTCCGGCAAGACACTTTACCTGAAACAGTCACCTCGTTTGGGAAAAAATAATTACCTCTCAGGGTTTTAAATGTTTATTTCCTCTGGAATTCAACTTTGAATTTTACCTTATTTATGGAAGGAGAAGGAGAAGGAGAAGATGAAGAAGGTGGTGAGTGGCTGAGACTTTCGACACAACCAAACTGAGCCAAAACATCCACCTTAAAATAAAAAAGGCGCTCAGTAAATGGAGGAAAAAAAAGGGTATAACAAGGCTTTTAACTAAAAACAGCAAATTCATAGCAGGACTAAGTTCACCAGAAAATTCTAGCATGCCACTCATTCAAAACATTACATGCCACAAAGCTCCCATTGTGTAGTAGTGGGTTATCTCCAATGCATTAGTAAATATTCTAAAGACTGTTGTTGTCACAATACAGTATCACTGAAGCACTAAAAATAATTATAAGCCTCACAGAAAGAATGGAACAAATATCATGCAAGCCACACAGCCAATGAAAGAAACTCCAGAGGAAAAACACAGCCAAGCTTTAAAAAATGTTAAGATGTTGAACCTTCTGCTTTCAAAGCCACCAGACATGTGCGAGAGCCCAGCCGAGATGAGCAAAGCCACCCGGTCGATGTGAAGCAACCACGGCGCCGTGATGAGTCCTACCAAGCCCAGCTGACAGCACAGAACAGCCTGGCCAGGCCACGATCTCAGGAGCAAGGTCTTCCATGTGTGTTCCTGAGGGTGACTGGCTCACGAAGCAGCACCGCTGTGAGAACAGATAACTGACACACTCCCATGAAGCCAATCAACAGCCAAACCGGCATCCTTGTTAAGAGGACAACTTGGAAGTCCAATCTCCAGGCTTCATGTCCCAGCTCCACGGCTATCTAGTAGGGAAGTCATTACTGTTAACACTTATATAGTGCTATGAAAATGCACTTTTCAGGTACAACTGTCCTGTGAAGTAAGTGGTGGTATTATTTCCATTTTATAGATGGAGATAAACCTGGTTTTGTTAATCAACTAATACACAAAGAAGACAATCAAGATGGAGCAATTGGGATCCAGTTTACGCTTCCACTTAAAACCTAAAAAAAAAAAAGACAAACTGTATTAAACTGTTTTCAAATCACTAGACATCAGGCAATGAAGGACCTGGTCCCTGCCTGGAGAGACTTTCCAGGCCACGGTCAGGGATGGGAACCACAGAAAGCCCAGAGGTCTCTGTGATTTGAGGAGACAGAGCTGGGAGTCTGGGGCAGAGCACTGGGGAGGAGAGAAGCTACACAGAGAGCTCCAGAGACCTGCAGAGGGGACCCCAGGGCTGAGCTGAGTACTGACCAGCAGATGCACATGAGGAAACCACCACATGCAAGGATGAAGTAGCAACTCCTCACATAGGGCCATTCTCACCAGGCAGAACGGAAAACCTCATGATTCCCACGGCACCAGGTACAGTACTAAAAGGGGTTTTGCCTCAATAGTGAGGCAAAAATATCCCTGGACTAAACATTGCTCTGGTCCCACTTTAAAAAGCTTAGAAATAAGACCCCAAAGGATTAAACTGTTTCTAAGCAACTTAACTGCATGCCAGAATAAGACTCAAAAATATTTGTCAGAATACAAAAATATCCAGCATATATCAAGGTAAAAATCACAATGTCTGGCACCCAATAAAAAAATCACCAGGCATGCAAAGAAGCAGAATAATATGACATATAACAAGAGAAAAATCAATCAATCGAAGCTGACTCAGTAATGACATCGATGATAGAATTAGCAACATTCAAGAGCAAGAAAGCTTTCAAATATCGATGAGATAGAGGAAACACTTTGAATGGGCTTCCAAGGGGTGACAATTTTAAGCATTAAGAAAAAACAACACTCTAGTAGACTGCAACACACTGAATCAATGTAAATCCATGGGTCCATAATAATACTAAAAAAAAAGAAAGATAGGAAAACTCATGTGTCACTATTTGAGGCAGCTATTTAAATAACTTCTTACTTCGAAAACTGGTAATTTCAACCTGGGAAAGAATTAGACATGTATACTGAACTCCAGAAGAAACTGTTTTCCAAGGTAGCTACCTAGTTCCAGTTGAGAAGGAAAGTGCTACTTTACAGAAGAAAGCCAACTCAGAAAACGTGGAAGGAATAACATTATTGCTTCAGGCAAGGATTATCAATTGGTGGTAAATCATTAGGTGAACAGTTAACAGAGTTAAATTAACACCAGACAGATTACTTTCTGGTCACAAGGAGAAAATATAACTATACAATGGAAGCACAAGACTTATCAACCTGACTCAAGGTCATTCTGATCAATAATGGTGGGCTGACCAGATATTATGACTTCTGATCTGATGTAGCATAAATCTATAATATCACCTATGATATTTTCTTGCCCAAAATGTTCAATTTGAATCCTTCAAGCCTTTGGGTACAATTTCCAACTTATAGGATGTACAGAGGATAGAGGAACAACTAAATAATACCACAGGGAACAACCAGACAAATCTAAAAGACAGAAATTCTGCAGGACAATTGGCTAGGTCAGAATAAACAAAAAGAGCAGGGACTGTGTTGGAAAGAAAGGAGACTTACAGGGACACAATGGACATAACCAGATGTAATGCTTGGTCCTATAATGGACACTAGTTCACCAACAAGCTGTAAAGGACACTCCAGGGTCAGAAGGGAAAATTAAAATTGGTCTGGATACTAAGTGAGATGAAAATTCACTGAAAAGGAAAGGATCGTCAACCTTTAAAAAGTTAAGAACAGTATATACTACTACATATGTCTCATATGGGTCTACATGTGAATGAATACCCATGTTCACACAGAGAAAGCAAGATATGCACCAAGGTGTAAATAGTAGTGGATGGTGGGATGTGATGCTTTTCTTCTGCTAGTCTGAATTTTCTAATTTCTACAGTGTGTATGTACTGCTTCTATAACAATAAAGGTTATTATTATTATTTTTTTTGGTGAGGAAGGTTAGTCCTGAGCTAACATCTATTGCCAATCCTCCTCTTTTTGCTGAGGAAGATTGGCCCCAGGCTAACATCTATGCCCATCTTCCTCTACTTTATATATGGGATGCCTGCCACAGCATGGCTTGATGAGCAGTGTGTAGATCCATGCCCAGGATCTGAACCTGAGAACCCTGGGCCACTGAAGTGGAGCATGTGAACTTAACCACTATGCCACCGGGCCGGCCCCAATAAAAGGTTATTTAAAAAAGTTCTTTTTAAGAGCTTCTACAAGACAAACGAAACCACAATCAAGATGAACAGACAACCCACCAGCTGGGAGAGAATATTTGCAAAACATACATCTGACAAGGGGTTGATGTCCATAATATATAAAGAACTCACACAACTGAACAACAAAAAAACAAACAACTTGATCAAAAAATGGGCACAGGAAATGAATAGACACCTCTCCCAAGAAGATATACAGATCGCCAATAGGCACATGAAAAGATGTTCAACATCACTAATCATCAGGGAAATGCAAATCAAAACAACACTAAGATATCACCTCACGCCCGTTAGAATGGCTATAATCAGCAAGACAAAAAACAACAAATGTTGGAGAGGATGTGGAGAAACAGGAACCCTCATACACAGCTGGTGGGAATGCAAATTGGTGCAGCCTCTGTGGAAAATGGTATGGAGATTCCTCAAAGAATTAAAAATAGAGATGCCCTATGATCCAGCTATCCCACTACTGGGAATCTATCCAACGAACCTGAAATCAACAATCCAAAGAGGCTTATGCACCCCTATGTTCACTGCAGCATTATTCACTATAGCCAAGAAGTGGAAGCAACCTAAGTGTCCCTCGACTGACGATTGGATCAAGAAAATGTGGTATATATATACAATGGAATACTACTCAGCCATAAAAAAAGACAAAATCGTCCCATTTGCAACAACATGGATGGGCCTGGAGGGTATTATGTTAAATGAAGTAAGCCAGAAAAAGAAAGACAAACACTGTATGATCTCACTCACATGTGGAATATAAACCAACACATGGACAGAGAAAACTGTATTGTGATTACCAGGGGCAATGGGGGTGGGGGGGTGGGCACAAGGGGTGAAGGGAGACATATATATGGTGATGGACAAACAAAAATGTACAACCCAAAATTTCACAATGTTAATAACTATTAAAACATCAATTAAAAAAAAAAGTTCTTTTTAAAGAAAATAAGAACAGCTGACCGTTCTGCAACGGCTGACCACAAAAATGATAGGTTCTGGTTTTGTTATATTTTGCTATTTTGCTGTATTTTGCTTCTTATATGACACCCTTGGGGGATGTGGACCACTAAGAATCATACTCCTACTTCTGACAACAGGCTTCAACCAAAATGCAGTAAGATGTGGGCAAGGGTAACAGCGCTAAGATCTGACTTAATTCATTGGTTTCTCAGTAGGCAGACAAGACATGGTCTAAGAAGAACACTCACTGCACAGACCAGGTGAATAACAACCCTGGGAAAGGCGGGGAGGAGATGGAGAGATGGGCAACAGACACCATTACTTCCCTCCGTGTCCACTTGAACTAGGTCAGACCTCAAAGGGGGATCTAGGTTTGAGAATTAATGAAAAGATAACATATTTCATTAAGGTTGCTTCCTGTCTGGCTTTCTACCAAACCAGCAAACAAGAGTTCAAGGGATATATGAAGGCTCAAAACAGACTGATGAGTGCTCACAGCACCCCCTGCCCCCCTGGCTCCTTACAGAGAACACCCAAAGTTCAACACAGGTCCATATGCATCATTCAGTTGATCAGTCTACCAGGTAAGAGGAGTCCCTAACCATGGGCTCACTACCTTTTTATATCATTATCTTGGGGGAGGGGCCCTGGAAGCATCCGAGGGTCCACGTTATCACACAAGGAAATTCTTGCTGAGCTTCAGTCATATACTTCTCTACATTCTACATGTTACGTCGTCATCTAGCTCATCATATCACACCCCACACTGCCCCCTAATAAATGGTCTCCTGCTTGGAAGGAAAGAAGAAAGGAAAGAATTTTGTAACTAGAAACTTCCAGGGCAAGACTTTGTCCAGGGGTATACAATAAAAATGACTGGAAAGTTACTTGTTCTGTGAAAGCTGAGGTTACTATGGTTTGGTTTTTTTGCAACTCATCTGCATGGCTGAGATGTCAAAGTCTTTATCTG